CGAAGAATTAGTATTTATTAGTTCCCAGGTGATGCTGGAGCTGCTAGCCCAAGAATTACACTTTTGGAACCCACCTAGGGTTCCATCTAGGGTTCTGTGCTTGTAAATAAACTACATTCCAGTTCTGGAAATGTCAAGAAATAAAGAACAGATTCCTATAGCTCAGAATGCAAAGTAGTCCCTTTCCCTAGCAGTTTGGGAAGACTTAACAAAGCAAACATGTCAACAGAAGTTCAATTATCTAGCTTCCATTCTACCCACAGGGCCATGGGATGGGGACATGAAATCAATAGTGCTCAAAGTCGAGTGAGTTTCAACAAGTAATTCTTCCTGGGAGGAGTGACTTCATGTAAGGCTTTTAAGGAAGGTTAAGTGGAGATGTTTAAGCCTGGTAGAGCATCCTGAAATGGCCAGGCCTAATGCCCAAAGGATAATACAGTTGGATGTCACTTTAAGGCTCACTACAGTTTATCCCTTTCTTACAAATTTAGTCTGATCATTGGTGAGTTCTGGACAAGGACATGATGTCCCAGCATGAACTCCTGCACCTGACTCCATGTCTTTGTTCATGCTGTTCCCTGTCCAGAATACCCTTCCTGGTCCTCTCCACCTCAGTAAGTCCGATTTGTCTATCAGGACCAAGGTGAAATCTGACCATTCTTCTTGAGAACTTAAGAGTTTGACCTATACTGAGTATATTTTTCTACCTGTCTCAATTTACTGGGATACTTGATCATTGTTTTCTAATTGTTTCTAATTTGTTGATTTATTCATTCAATAAATACTACCTTCCTTCAACTAAATCCTTATTGGAGTCTTACAATGTGCTGGGCATTATGGTAGGTTTGAGGAAGAGAGTCATAGCTAAAAACAGACCTGGTGGCTGGGCACAGTGGCTCACGCCTGTAATCCCAGCACTTTGGGAGGCCAAGGCAGGCAGATCACAATTTCAAGAGATCGAGACCATCCTGGCCAACATGGTGAAACCCTGCCCCTACTTAAAAAAAAAAAAAAATACGACAATTAGCTGGGCATGGTGGCGCACACCTATAGTCCCAGATGCTCGGGAAGCTGAAGTGGGAGAATTGCTTGAACCTGGGAGGCGGAGTTTGCAATGAGCTGAGATCGCGCCACTGCACTCCAGCCTGGCGCCTGGTGACAAAGCAAGACTGTCTCAAAAAAAAAAAAAAAAAAAAAAAAAAAAAAAAAAAAAAAAAAAAAAACAGACGTGGTTCCTGCTCTAATAGAGAAAGATCCATTAATCAAATAATTGCACTGGTGGAAGTACAATTACAAGCGGAGGAGAGTAGCCTAAAGGGAAGGAATACAGTTTTATGAGAACATATAAGAAAGGAATCTGATGTAGACTTGGGGATTGGGGTCAGGGTGAACTTTCTGAGAAGGTATAGTTTGAGCTGAGATATGAAGGATACCCAGTGAGGGTGAGGAGGGGAAAAATTCTCCAAATGGTGAGGGGCATCATGTACGAAGGCTCTGGAAGTGGAAGGGAGAATGGCAGATGCAAGGAAAGAGCTCTTTGAAAACAGCATCCAGTTTGGGAGAGATGATGTTGAGTTGCCTTTGAACACAGACATGATGATGTAGAGTAGGCAGCTGATCCAGATCTCAGACCATCTGAGCGAGGGGCAGTCTGGGGGTCAGAAGGGATGGGTGGTGGATAAGGCTTTCGGAGAGAATATGTGTGAGGAAAGGAGTAGATGTCTGAGAGTAGGTCATAAGCCCCAGAAGGCCAGAGCATTTCAAGGAAGGAGAGTTGCTTCCCCCTGGCAAGACAGGGGATGTTTCTCTTATTTCTTCCTCTCTCCCTGCTCACTGTCATCTGAGTTCTGGTCTTACTTGTGTCTCACCTGGATGCAGCAAGAGTCTGCTAATTCAGTGCTTCTCAAATTTTAATGTGCACATAACTCACTTCGGAGTGGGGAATCATCTCAGTAAAATACAGATTCTGATTCAATCGCTGGAGCTGGAGCCTGAGATTCTGCATTTCTAACCAGCTCTCAGGTGACCTGGACCACCCTTTGAGCAGCAAGAGTCATTAGTCTCCTTGCTTCTGAAGCTCAGAGCTCCTGACGCCCAGCACCCTCTTACTGCTGCAGCCATCTTTGGCCAGCCTCCCCTTCCTCCCGCAGCTCGCCTTCCTCCACCCTTCCCTTCACCAAATGTAACCCCTCATCTGAAGTTTTCCATCTCTTTCTCTTGTAGTTGTAAAAGGGACAGAGTCCAGCTCGGCTCACTCTCAGGTAGAGGGGGACAGCTGCAGTGGTCTTCAGACTTTTCTGTTTAAAATCCTCTCCCTAAAAGAATCTTTTAAAACTCTTTGCCCCTTCATACAGTTTTAAGTTTACATCTACATTTTTTTATCATACATTTGCTGAAGATACAATTTCCAGTATATTGTAAACATTGATATTTTTAAGCAAAACTATTACATCACTGTTTTAAATGTATCCAATAGAATCTAAACACCACAGCAATTTAATACCTCCCGTCATCTACTTTAAAAATGCATGCACCACCTCTTTAATAGTCAGTGTTCCTTTTTCTTCTGGAAATTTTATTTTCATTTCACTTACCCTATGGAATTTTAGCCCAATGTGATATATGTAATATATTTTTATGCTTGGGACTTTTTCACTTGTTTCCCTACCATATTTCTCTGTAATAATTTTATATTAAGTTGAAACTGTTTTAATTTTTTTAATTTCTAAAATCAAAGATCTAAGTATTAAAAGTTCTTCTGGTTTGAGTTACCGCAATTACTAATGGTACACAATTGATCAAAACAACATAAATGTATTACTAATTTGGATGAATAGTAAACATAAATAGCTAAATTATATTGAAAATGCATCTCTAAATGAAGTGTTGGTACTGGTGACTTTTTGTGGGGGGTGACTTTTTTAAATAAACTTTTTAAAATTAACATACAACATATACCCCTGTATGTATATGACCAGGTCACAGTCATATACATACAGTTGTATATGTTGTATGTTAATTAGCTTGAATTACAGCAGAGTGAGATTACCACTCAGGTCCAGAAATAAAATATTGCTGGTGCTGAGCTCTATTTTCAATTTCTTTATCCATAGATGAATATTATGCAATGCTAGCATGAGACAAGGATCAGCATTTATAGTGTTTCCATTTTTCGTTCTCCCTGCGGCAGTATGTGAAAAGTTTGCTCTTCTTTTTTACTTTACAAAAGTAAAGGAGGGTGATTAGGAAAGAGAAGGCCTAAAAGGACAGCTTGCACCTCTGTCACTCATGAGTTCTAGAAAGAATTTCTATAGAAGTTGAGGATCTAGGAATTGAATCTCTCTCTCTTTTTTTTTTTTTTTTTTTTTTTTTTTTTTTGAGACAGAGTTTCGCTCTTGTCACCCAGGTCGGAGTGCAGTGGCACAATCTTGGCTCACTGCAAGCTCCACCTCCCAGGTTCAAGTGATTCTCCTGCCTCAGCCTCCTGAATAGCTGGGATTACAGGCACCTACCACCACGCCCAGCTAATTTTTGTATTTTTGGTAGAGACTGGGTTTCACCATGTTGGCCAGGCTGGTCTCGAACTCCCGACCTCAGGTGATCCACCCGCCTCAGCCTCCCAGAGTGCTGGGATTATAGGCATGAGCCACCACGCCCAGCCAAGAATTGAACCTCTTAAAACTTTAGATACATATGCAATGCTTGCAAAGTCTTCATGTGTTCCATGGAGTTCACACCTCAGTTTGAAGTTCACTGAAGAACCTGAATGGACTCACAGGGACCCAGACCAGTCTCTGCAAATGTCCTAGTTAGTGTTTCTACAAGTGAGAATCTGATCAGCCCAGCCTACTTCTTTGTGCCAAATCATCTCAAAAGCTTCTGGCCAGGAGGTTACCCCTATACACAGATGTTTATCTGATCAGGAGCCACAAGGAGACAGGTGACTATGTTGACCTGAAAGGCAAACTAACATGTGCAGTACTCTTCCTGGAAACCTTCTCCAATTCTGTTCTTCTGCTGCAATTAAGCTTTCCAGTCTCTGAATTCCCATCTGTCTTGCTCGTTTTTTTTCTTTTTTTAAGAGATAAGGTCTTGCTATGTTGCCCAGGCTAGTCTTGAACTCCTTAGCTCAAGCAATCCTCACCTCAGTCTCCTGATAAGTGGGTGTACAGGTGTGTGCCATCACACCCTGCCTTTCTTAGTTTTGCCTTTTGATTACATGTATCTTTTTCTCCTTTGTAATTATTCATGTGACTCATCACCTCTTCTAACTACATGCTTGAGAGCAGGCCTGTGTCTTAGTCATTTCTCAGCATTGTACCTTAGTTAATAGGTGTCTAATAAATATGTGTTGAACAGATAAATTGATTAATGCATATCTTAAACTTATTTATATTTCCCACAGGTCCTAGAATAGTGTTGGGCTTCCAATAGCAGGGTCCCAGAAGAATGGATGAATTAATCAATGAACAAAACAATGAATTAACAAATCAATGAACTACTGAGCCATTGAACAATGGCTTGAAAGTAAGAGAGTTTACCTCTCATGTGAGAGTTAAGATCCGCGGATTCAGTGTAAAGGGTGTGGAGTGCATGACCCTGGCTATTTCTACTCGAGTCCCCTGTTTCTCATACATATATTTTTAGAGACAGAGTTTCACTCTGTCACCTAGGCTATAGTGCAGTGGTACAATTATAGCTCATTGCAACCTTAAACTCCTGATCCCAGGTGATCCTCCTTTCTCAGCCTCCTGAGTAGCTGGGGCTACAGGTGCATGCCACCACACCCAGCTAATTTAAAAAACATTTTTATAGAGACAGGATCTCCCTAGGTTGCCCAGGTTGGTCTCAAATTCCTGGCCTCAACAAATCTCCTGTCTCAGCCTCCCAAGTAGCTGGGATTATATATTTATTTTTATCACTGGTCATGGTAGGTATCAATTGCTCATCACAAAACATCCAAATAAATCCTTTCCTCTCTTTTGCATCTTGCCTTGCAGGTGTGAGCGACGTCTCCTCACCACAGTGCTGTGTGGTCCGTACCTCAGCCAGGGAGAGGATGTAAAACCCCCTGCCCTGCACATGAGTGGTACAGGCCAACAGGAACACCTGGCTCCAGCCACATTCACAGACATGTCAGCCGTGGAGTAGTGCCGACACTTTCTCTCAGCTTCTCAGGGTTTCAGTCCTTTTGGGTTTGTTTTATTTACCTTTTTTTATGGTTTTGTGGCTGGACGTTCACAACCAAGGCAGACGGCATGGGTGATCAGCAACTGTACAAGACCAACCATGTGGCGCATGGTAGTGAGAACCTTTTCTACCAACAGCCACCACTTGGTGTCCACAGCGGGCTGAACCACAACTATGGGACTGCAGTAACAGGGGGCGGGATGGATGCCCCTCAGGCCTCGCCCATCTCCCCCCATTTCCCTCAAGATACGCGGGATGGTCTGGGCTTGCCTGTTGGCTCCAAAAACCTTGGCCAAATGGATACCTCGAGACAGGGAGGGTGGGGGAGTCATGCAGGGCCTGGAAACCATGTCCAGCTACGTGGTAACCTGGCCAACTCAAACATGATGTGGGGGGCACCAGCCCAGGCTGAGCCCACTGATGGCTACCAGTACACCTACTCCCAGGCCAGCGAGATCCGGACCCAGAAGCTTACCAGCGGTGTCTTGCACAAGCTGGACTCTTTCACCCAGGTGTTTGCCAACCAAAACCTGCGAATTCAGGTCAACAATATGGCCCAGGTGCTGCACACCCAGTCAGCAGTGATGGATGGAGCCCCTGACAGTGCCCTCCGCCAGCTGCTGTCTCAGAAGCCCATGGAGCCCCCAGCACCGGCTATCCCTTCCCGCTACCAGCAGGTGCCCCAGCAGCCTCACCCTGGTTTCACTGGCGGGCTGTCCAAACCAGCTCTTCAGGTCGGGCAGCACCCCACCCAAGGGCACCTGTATTATGACTACCAGCAGCAACTGGCTCAGGTGCCAGCGCAGGGAGGACAGCCGCTGCAGGCCTCGCAGATGCTGTCACAGCACATGCAACAGATGCAGCAGCACCAGTATTACCCACCGCAGCAACAGCAGCAAGCTGGGCAACAGCGTATCTCCATGCAAGAAATACAGACACAGCAGCAACAGATTCGCCCATCACAGCCGCAGCCGCAGCCGCAGCCGCAGCAGCTACAGCTGCCGCAGCGGCAGGGCTCGATGCAGATACCTCAGTATTATCAGCCCCAACCCATGATGCAGCACTTGCAAGAGCAGCAGCAGCAACAGATGCACCTGCAGCCCCCTTCTTATCACAGGGACCCTCACCAGTATACCCCAGAGCAGGCACACACTGTCCAGCTGATTCCTCTGGGCTCCATGTCCCAGTACTACTACCAGGAGCCCCAGCAGCCCTACAGCCACCCCCTCTACCAGCAGAGCCACCTGCCCCAGCACCAGCAGCGTGAGGACAGTCAGCTGAAGACGTACTCTAGCGACAGACAGGCCCAGGCCATGCTGAGCTCCCACGGGGACCTGGGGCCTCCTGACGCAGGAATGGGAGACCCAGCAAGCTCGGATCTGACCCGGGTCAGCAGCACCCTTCCCCATCGGCCCCTCCTGTCCCCCAGTGGGATCCACCTCAACAACATGGGGCCTCAGCATCAGCAGCTGTCTCCCAGTGCCATGTGGCCCCAGGTATTCTCCCAGTGGAAGTTTCTCCCAATACCCAGTGTGCTACAGGGTCAGCCAGGGCCGAGTCTGCAGTGCCCAATCCTGTCTTCAAGCCCCGTCAACCATTTTGTTCTTTATTCATTATACAAACATCAACCTACATGTGTCACGCACTGTCTGTGCCAGGCACTTGGAATACAAAATTAATTTTTATTAAGTCCTTTGGCCATGGAGCTTATAATCTACTAAGGAGATGGCCAGAGTACCATATCATGCCCTAAATGATTCATGTAATGGTTAAGACCTTGAGTTGGATGCCAGGGAACCACACAGTGGTGGTGTCTCAGTTCCCTTGGATCTGTGTGCTCAGGATACGTTCTGTGACATTGGTCCTCCTTTGGGAGGGAGACCACATTATGACAGGATTTCTCAAAGTATATTGCTCAGAACAGCCGTTCCGCAGTGTTTAATGGATATTGCTGGGGAAACAGTGGGTTCTCTGGATAAATAAATTAGGGAGTTCTTTTTTCTTTTTTTAGAGATAGGGTCTTGCTGTCACCCAGGCTGGAGTGCAGTGATACAATCATAGCTCACTGCAGCCCTGAACCCCTGGGCTCAAACGATCTTCCTGCTTCACCCTCCCACGTAGCTGGGACTATAGGTCTATGCCACAAACCTGGGTACTTCCTTTAGTTTAGTTTAGTTTTGTAGAGACAGGTCTCCCTATGTTTCCCAGGCTGCTCTTGAACTCCTGGCCTCAAGCGATCCTCTCACTTCAGCCTCCCAAAGTGAAACAGGTTGCTGTACTGCAGGACTTTTTGTGGCCTTTAATATGGTAGTATGCGTTGTGAGTCTCCCAAAGGGGATACCATGTATGACTGCAGAGACAAAAATCTTAGCTTCCCACATGATCTAGGCTGTGAAAGTAAATAAGCAAAACCTGACTGGTATGAGGCATTAGGGAGTAGTGATGACTGTGGACTAAAGAGCAGATGCCCCATCCCATAGCATTCTCACTAAGAATTTAGCCAAACAAAACATTCTAGCCAAACAAAACATGAATGCAGGCTGATTCAGCCTGTACACCGTAATTAACCTTGATTTGTTTCAAAAAGTATTTGATCAGAAACAGCCTACTATGTGCTGGGCACTTTTCATGCCTTGGCTTATTCCAAGTGCTACAGTTAATATGTCAGCAGTGTCTGAGGAGGAGGCGACCCCAAATGGGAACTGGTTGGGGAGAGAGAAGGTTCTGATGGAGATCGAAGGCCAGAGATGAACTTCCCCTTGACCTTGTTTTGTCTGGGGCTCAGACCCAGTAGTAACTGAGAGCCTTTGTAAATATAAGAATGAGATGATTTGGCTAAGGCTTTTTAAGAAGAATTCCAGGGCCAGGTATGGTGGCTTACACTTGTAATCCCGGCACTTTGGAAGGCCAAGGTGGGAGGATGGCTTGAGCCCAGGATTTGGAGACCAGCCTAAGCAACATAACTACCAAAAAAACATCAAAAATTTAGCCTCTACAAAAAAAATAATAATTTAGCTGGGTGTGGTGGCACATACCTGCAGTCCCAGCTACTTGGGAGGCTGAGGCAGGAGGATTGCTTGAGCCCAAGTAGTAGAGGCTACAGTGAGCCACAATCATGCTACTGCATTCCAGCCTGGGTCACAGAGCAAGACCCTGTCTCCAAAAAATAAAAGGAATTCCGTCAGGAGGTCTCCTGATATGATGCTGTGTCTTCCAACTTTCTTCTGTGCCCCTTATGGGAATGGAGCCTGTCTGTGCATGGAGTGTGTACCCTGAGAGAACAGGAAAGAACACGGTGGGGGGCTGCATCCTGGTGGGCTTGCTGTGGCTGGCAGCAGCTCCAGGAGTGGGGTGGTGGTCCCAAGTCAAGGTCCCAATTCAGGGACAGAAGTCAGATGCAGAAGAGCGAGGGTGTGAGTGGACATGCACGGGGTCAGCACGAGGCAGCCGGCAGAAAGAGTCCTGGAAGGGTACCTGGTGTTCCCACCGCTCCAGGACTGCTCCCTTCAGAACACATTCTTTTCTCTCTTCTTTTTTTCGGTGTCCTGTTTGGCTCAAAACTAGATGCACCTACCTGATGGGAGAGCCCAGCCAGGTTCCCCTGAGTCGAGGTAAGTTGAGTGGAGCTTCGTTGGTATTTTGGGAGACTGGGAGGATTTTCTGGGGTGTTTCTCATGATTCATTTCTAAATTCAAAGTCAATTCCTCAAAGAAGTGTGTAGAAATGATAGCAGCTGTTGTGTTTGAGTGCCTGCTCTGTGCGAAGCCCTATGCATTCTGTGTAGTAGAGTAACCGACGAGGGTGGGTATGATTATGATGTGCCTATACTCAGGAAGCGCTCAGTAATTCTTAGCTCTTACTATTGTTACTTTACAAATGAGAAAACTGAGGCTCAAAGAGCTTAAGGTTAAACATCAAGTAACAATGCTGGGATTGACCGCAAAGACCACGTTCTGTCCACTCTGCATTCATTCAGTACTTATTAAGTGCCTACTGTGTGCCAAGCATAGAGCTAGGCTTTGAGAATGCAGCAGTGAGCAGTACAGACTTGCTTCCTCATCTCATGGGCATGGTAACTAAAGATTTGGCCAAACCCGATAAATGTGAAGTGTGCGATATGGGGCTGCCTCAGGAACTTGCACCGGTGTCTCCAGCAGGGAGGCTTTTGGAGGAGCTGGGCTCAGGCTGACCCTGGAAGGGTAATGAGCTATAGTTCCCAAGTCAAAATCCATTGCCTAAAGGCCTGGCATGAAGGAGGACATGTTGTTCAGTTCTTGCATGACTTTGAGAAGGTCTTTTCCCATGCTGAGCCTCAGTTTTTCATCTGTAAATCGGGCTTAGTTCTCTAAAGGGCATTGGGGTGATGCAAGTGGTGCCGTGGACAATGGGATCATTGGATGAATGGAATGGGTCTGTGGTGGGTATGAGGTCTTGTGGCAAGTCACTGTTTCTCTTCCCTTCCTCGTCATATGTGTCCCCTCCATTTGGCTCTACCCTTGAGCAGTGGCCAACCCAAAGGAGTGTTTGGGGAGCAGTTTGATGCCAAGAACAAGCTGACGTGCTCCATCTGCCTGAAGGAGTTCAAGAACCTGCCTGCCCTGAACGGCCACATGCGGTCCCACGGGGGAATGAGGGCCTCCCCCAACCTCAAACAGGTTAGCAGGAGCCAATCCCTGATCCTTTCTAGGCTATGTGCTGCTTGCTTTGCTTTGCTGCCGTCAGAGAGTGATGTGAGCCCCACGCAGGACATGGCGAGGCACAGTCCTCCCTTGACAGGAGTGCTTAGGCTCTGAGGCTGGTAGCCAGCCAGGTCAAAGAGCCCCACTTCCCCAGTGTTACAGTGAGGAAGGGTCAAAAACAGGCACTGGAAAGCCTTTTAGGGCATCCCAGCCTCTCTCTCTGCCTCCTGGAGAAGACAGCAAACGAAAACATGTAAATGCAATATTGTTTTTAAACTTCTGCTGCTTGACACACCCAAGACCGGGGCCACTGGGGCCTTCCAGATTAGTGGGCAACAGCCAGAGACAGCTAATGTAACCATCAGGCTCTCCGCCAGAATTTTCTGTTTACTGATGCAGTGGCGTTTGGCTCAATATCCAAAGATCCTTAAATACCCTCCAGATTATCCAAGGTAGGCTATCCAGATAGTAAACTATCCACAAGTTTTAAAGTTAGAGTAAAATCAAAAAAATTCTCAGAATTCTTTGAATATTGTTACTTTTAATTTAAATCTATGGGATTAAATCTTTGTTGACCAGAATTTTTGATTACCCAAATGACTCCATCTCCTGGCCATGCCAGATTATGTTTTTTAAAAAAGCTTTTGTCTTTACTTGTTAAAAGTACATGTTTTGGGTCGGGCATGGTGGCTCACACCTGTAATCCCAGCACTTTGGGAGGCTGAGGCAGGTCGATCACCCGAGGTCGGGAGTTCAAGAGCAGCCTGACCAACATGGAGAACCCTCATCTCTACTAAAAATACAAAAAAATTTGCCAGGTGTGGTGGTGCATGCCTGTAATCCCAGCTACTCGGGAGGCTGAGGTGAGAGAATCCCTTGAACTCGGGAGATGGAGGCTGCGATGAGCCGAGATTGTGCCATTACACTCCAGCCTGGGCAACAAGAGTGAAACTCCATCTCAAAAAAAAAAAAAAAAAAAAAGTACATATTTTGTATCTCCAGTGTGGTTTCCTGACCTGAATAAAATTTAGGATGGAATGCCTATTTCCATTTGACAAATGAATAAACTAAGGCCCATAGAATTAAAAACTGCAAAAGATCCTACCTTGTTTGGACTGATGACAAGTTCGTGTCCTTTCCTTTAAAAGCAATGACAACCACATAATTTTTAAAAATTGCTTAATACACAAGTAATAAATGGTCAAGATTTTTTAGCTGTAGAAAATGGAGGCCATGGCCTCCTCTACCATCAGCTGGCATCACTCCAGCCGAGGGACTCAGGATTGCAGGAAGGAAATCGCCCTGCAGTGGTTATCACCCATACCTGATGTCCTGGAATCTTTCAGGAAAAGCAAAGTGCATCCCCTTTGTGAGAGCTTCTCTCAGCCCAGGATCAAAGCCTTTATTGTCTGTGTAGGAGGAAGGAGAGAAGGTCCTGCCGCCTCAGCCCCAGCCGCCACTGCCGCCTCCGCCTCCGCCTCCGCCGCCACCACAGCTCCCTCCCGAGGCAGAAAGCCTCACGCCTATGGTCATGCCTGTGTCTGTCCCTGTCAAGCTTCTCCCGCCCAAGCCCAGCTCTCAGGGGTTCACCAACAGCACCGTTGCCGCCCCCTCCGCCAGAGACAAGCCAGCCAGCTCGATGTCGGACGACGAGATGCCTGTGCTCGTGAGGATGACCCTCTCTCCCCCACACTCACCCCAAGGGGCTGCCCCCCGCACGCCTGCTGTGAGTTGCTGCTCTGCCCCACCTGCCTGGGTGGGGACATCCCTTTGCTTTCTTAGAGATGGGGCAGCCCTTCCAGAGTCACCGACCCGAGCTCAACATGGCTTGGCCTCTCAGGGCTGAACCCCTGTGGCCACGTTGGGAACCCCATCCTTGATGCCAGACTAATGGCCTGGGTTAGATTCTGAGAGACCCGAAAGTGTTCCCAGATCATCAGAGATGATCATTCAGCTGGGACTCACTGGGCCAATCATAGCCGTTACTGAAATATGGAAGTACTGTATACCAAAAAATAAGCAGCTTGCCCAGGCCCTGGCCCCTTCCCCAGGATCTCCAGACCTCCCAAATCCACTACCAAAGAGGTAAACACTGGCACAGCAGGTGCCATCTTGAATGCAGTAGCCCTGGCATCCATTCTGACAATCCGCCTTACCAGATGCTTAATATTTTGTCTGCTTAAATCCCCTGGAGAGCCTAATTTGTTAAAGTTCCCAAAGTAGTTCCACTGAGAGCCACCCACCCCTAGTCTCAGGAAAGCAAAGAGGTTTGTTTTCCTCACTCACTGTTCTCCTTTCTCCAATTCTAAGTGCTTCACTCAAAGAGCTTACCTTGGCTCTGGGAAGGGTTTCTTTATCTGTCTGTCTGTCTGTCTGTCTGTCTGTCTCTGTCTGTCTGTCTCTCGGACCCTAGGGAATTTAAGATCTGTGTGGTTGACAATATCAAACCTATCTCCCCACAGAGTGGTGTGTTGGGGTCATATTTGTCCTTAGGAATAGGCAGCTGCTGAGAGTCTAGGGGGCATAGGGTGAGGCTGGGCCAGGATAGAGGGAGAGAGGATAATTAATAGAACTAGAAAAGTCTAGAAAAAAACCCTTATGGTTCTCTATGTTAATATCAAGTCCTCAAAAGAAGAGAAACTGATGGAGAACTAGGGGGAAGATTCTCATAAGCTGTCAGGACTTGGGGGCCAGCAACAGGCAGAGAGATGAAATGACACATCCAAGCTCCCTCTTTGCCCAGAGGAGTTCATGATTTGGTGGGAGAAACACTATTTCTCCCCTTGGGGAGCTCTCAATTAAGGGTTCATAATCACATGGGGGTCAGAGTCCCAGGCACACCCCCGCCACCATCACCCATTCAAGATGGCGAGAAAAAAGACAGGGGCAGACAAGAAACGGATGCCCCAGGTGTGACTGGATGGGACTACACCTGGGTAGCAAAAGTCCTTACGGACCGAGGAGGGGCAAGGGAGTTTGCTCAGGAGATCATCATTAGCATTCTGAGCAGGGTTTGGAAGGGAAGGATGATCTTGACTTAATGGAAGGGTGAGAGAGACCTGTCGGTTGGGTGGATTGTGAATTGGACACGTGTAGGTGGGACTGAATACTTGTGAACAAGGTCCTGGCACTTGATGTAAAGAAATTAAAACATCCAGGACAGAGCCCTGAGTGCCCAGCCCAGCTTGGCTCCTAGCCAGCTCATCAGTGGTTCTCATCCTTCTCTGTAGACAGCTTTTTAAAGTTTTCAGTGCTTGGTCTCACCCCCAAAGTGTTCAAATAGTTTGGTGGGGTGGAACACTGTAAGTGCTTCCTCTCAAGTGGCAACCAGGCATGACATTCTAGGTGGCGTCTGTGGCCCAGTGGCTCACAGCCTTTACCTGGAGGATCAGAAAATCCAGGTTTAGGCCGGGTGTGGTGACTCACACCTGTAATCCCAGCACTTTGGGAGGCTGAGGCAGATGAATCACCAGGTCAGGAGTTGAAGACCAGACTGGCCAAGATGGTGAAGCCCCGTCTCTACTAAAAATACAAAAATTAGCTGGGCATGGTGGTGGGTGCCTGTAATCCCAGCTACTCTGGAGGCTGAGGCAGAAAATGCTTGAACCCGGGAGGCGGAGGTTTCAGTGAGCTGAGATCGCACCACACCACTGCACTCCAGGCTGGGCAACAGAGCGAGACTCCATCTCAAAAAATAATCCAGGTTTAGAGCTGCAGTACAGGACAAGAAGCTGGAGGAGTGGGAGACCCAAAGGGACCTCTGGCCCTGTAATCAGAGGTCTGGATTGCAGTGCTGCGTTAAGATAGCATGAGGTCTACATGTTCTTAGATGACCTCATCTGTTACCCAGGAACAGGGTAGGCTATAACTTCAGGGCTGCCTTCCTTATAAGGGGCACCAGCCTCCTTCCCCCATTCTCCTCAGCCCCTCTCCCGCCTCAGCCTCAGGCGCTGAGGAGCCCTCTGGTGGAGAGAGGAGGCGGTTGAGCGCGCTGGCCTAAGGAGAGCCCCCTGGGGTGAGGTCGGGGGTTAGGAACCTCACTCTGGAGCTGAGAGCCTGGGACCCTCTGCCTCCCAAGACACCCCTCCTAGAGGCCAGGATGGCACCGTGGAAGGCAAGGAAGCTGAGGGAGAAACAGAAGGCGTCAGAGCCTTGACGCCCTGGAGGGAGAGGAGACAGAGCAGAGGTCACATGGCCTGGAGGCAGCTGGTCACATGACCGTGGCCAGCCCTTCCCATCACCCCCTGCTGCTTCCTACCCAGGCGCCACCCTGGGCTCAGGACTCTCCAGGACCTGCAGCTGTGACTGGCCCCTGGCCTGCAGGGCCCGAGAGGTCACGCCAAACTGTCCAGAACCTTCCCTCAGGTATCCCTGTGGCCCCTCCCAACCACACCGCCTGTGCAGCCACACCCAGCTTTCAGCTTTTCTGGGCTGATGCTACCACACAGCCCGAGTCTGTTTCCGGTTTGGCTTTGGCATGCCCTGCTCATCTGTTTACGTGCATTTGTTTACTTATTAGTATGTATGTATCCATGTGGCAGATCCTCCCTCCAGACTGTGCTTGGTTCCGCTGCCATTAAAATAAACTAAGTCTCCTGACAGGAAGCCAACCTCAGAGAAGAGTTTGCTACAAATAAGCTACAAGTTCTGGGAGCAATAGTGAGGGGCGGTGAGGGGGGAGGTCAACCAGATCGGTGTTTAGGTGAGCACACTGAAAGGGCCTTAGAGATCATCGCGGGTTCTCCCCCGCGCTGCAAGTGACCCAGGAGAGCCGGGTGTGGGTCGCTGGCCTTAGGAGCCTTGGCTAGGCTTGAGCCCCCTCTTCCTGCCCCACGGGTCTCGGTGCCAGCTTCCCTGAAGAGATTGTTCTGTCCCCTTCTCAGAACATGTGGTATCTGTTCCTGATGTCCGTCCCTGGGGAGCACAGGGGGGAATCAAAGAGCCCACTCAGCTGGATTCCACTCAAACAGATGGGAATGTAGTGATAAGCAATGAAGACATTGAATTTATTACTTCTTGACCACCCACTATTCCTATCGCCCCCAGCTCTTTCAGAAATTAGGGATTTCTTCCAAAACCTTAGTTTTCTTCCTAGTCTAGCAGCCAGAACTCGCTTTGCCTGAAATGGATGTGGTGGCGCGGGGTGGCGGGGTGGCGGGGTGGCGGGCGGTCAAGCATAAGGTCTGTCTGCTCAGACAGTAGAAGGCCCCCTTCCCTGAACCTGTGGAATTGGCCTCCAGGGGAAGCTGAAGTATTCGAATCATTTCGTTGTTCCGCTTTTAGGAAATCCCCAAGAAGCAGCAGCCCAGCGTGCCCAAAGCCGAGGAGCCCCTGAAGACCGTGCAGGAGAAGAAAAAGTTCCGGCACCGGCCGGAGCCCCTCTTCATCCCGCCGCCGCCCTCCTACAACCCGAACCCCGCTGCCTCCTACTCGGGCGCCACCCTGTACCAGAGCCAGCTGCGCTCCCCGCGCGTCCTCGGAGACCACCTGCTCCTGGACCCCGCCCACGAGCTGCCCCCTTACACGCCCCCACCCATGCTGAGCCCGGTGCGCCAGGGCTCGGGGCTCTTCAGCAATGTCCTCATCTCCGGCCACGGCCCTGGCGCCCACCCGCAGCTGCCCCTGACGCCCCTGACGCCCACACCGCGGGTGCTGCTGTGTCGCTCCAGTGAGTCACCCTTTAGCCTCCTCCTAGGCTCTGGGTGCTGGGTAGAGTCCCGGGAGGCCCCCTTTTCCTTAGCTTTCTCATCTATCCCACAGACTTTGGCGGAGTATTATTGGCTGTATGTAGCACACACTGCTGGGTGCTAATAAAGACTTGGAATGCATAGCCCTTATCCTCAAGGGAATCACAGCCTAATTGGGAGACAAATGTGTAAAGTGATCACCAGTCTCTGGGATAAGGAAACAGTTGAAATGTTCACCCAGTTTCTAAGACAGCCCCCGATGATCGTGCAGGAGAGAAAAAATGAGACCAGGCGTGGTGGCTCATATAAGTAATCCCAGCGCTTTCGGAGGCCAAGGCAGGTGGATCACTTGAGGCCAGGATTTGAACACCAGCCTGGCCAACATGGTGACACCCCGTTGCTACTAAAAATACAAAAATTAGCCAGGCGTGGTGTCACGTGCCTGTAATTCCAGCTACTCAGGAAGCTGAGACAGGAGAATCACTTGAACGTGGGAGGCGGAAGTTGCAGTGAGCCGAGATCGCACCACTCCACTCCAGCCTGGGAGATAGAGCGAGACTCCCTCTCCAAAAAAAATAGCGGGACGTGGTGGCAGGCGCCTGAAGTCCCAGCTACTCGGCAGGCTAAGTCCAGGAGAATCCCTTGAACCCGAGAAGCAGAGGCTGCAGTGAGCTGAAATAGAGCCACTGCACTCCCACCTAGGCAAGGAGCGACACTGTCTCAAAAAGAAAAGAAAATATACTCAGTAGATGTACAAATAAGATTAGGCATTACATTTAAGATCAACCTTGACATTTTAGCGTGCTTTATAAAAATCAAGCACAGAGAGGCTAGGATCTCTTTCTGGCACAAGAAAAATTGCATAGAAATCATACCGCTTAGCCGACCATTGTGGGACAACTGGCTTCTTCTCTGTATGAGAAATGGGTAACCCTAAGTCATTTAGCTCTATACTCCACCCAGCTCCCTGGAAACTGTCAGGGGTAACTCTGGCAGGAGTTGAGTAGGAGAGGAGCCCTGTTATGGCTGGTTAGGTAACTGCTCATTTGCTTTAGTCTTTTTCAACATTCCTTCCCTGTTGACTAGTGACCTCTGATTTTTGTGTTTTAGACAGCATCGATGGCAGCAATGTGACGGTCACCCCAGGGCCTGGAGAGCAGACTGTGGATGTTGAACCGTAAGGAAAAGTCAATTACTCTTTAGAACAGAAGGCTTCACTTCTTGAGAAGTGTAGTTAATACTTTTGTAGTCAGAGGATTACACTGAGAAAGCAGTTGTAGAATTTGTAGGATCGTGGTTATTTCTTGAGTACTGTTGTTTCCCTACACAATAGTTGCCTGTATTCCAAGGCCTTTGCCAAAGACTAAAGGCATGGTCAAAGCATGAAGCCCTGTATTCAGAGAACCTAGCATCCCTATGTCTGGCTCTGCAGACAGCATGGTTGTAGCCATGTATTTTCTTATCCCCAGTGACCCGGAAGCATCTCCTTCGGGGTGGCTCATTCTTTAAAAGGCACCTTCTGAATGTCCTCATGTCCCCCCTCCCCTCCCTGACTCTTGGCCAGTCCTCCAAATGGGCTTGTTAAGTACTTTAATTTTGCTTGGGCAGTGGGTGGTGTTAGGAAAGGGAAAGGTGATTTATCTTCATGGGTAGACACAGAAAAGAGGCCAGGTGGTAGAGTGGTGAGTAGATTGAGTCAGGAATCAGAAAACCTGAGTTCCAACACCATTTTGTAATTTGATCTTGATCGAGTTAACCTTTCTAGGCTTTGGTTGACTCATCAAATTGGCATAATTATTACAGCCTTCTTACATCACAGATCTCTGTGAGGTTCGGATGGGATAATGTCTGTGAAAGGGATCTGAAAGAGAGAAAAAAATGAAACGAATTGCTTTGTGTTTCCCCCATTTTTGTGGTTAAATGGCACCATTAGCCATGCTCTGGGAAACTGTTCTCTTGGAATTAATCACCCTCCCGTTCCCATTTACAGGAAGCTGTAGAAGCCCCAGGCCGGCTGCTCCCTTGCTCCTAAAATATTCCTCCCCAATCTTAAGGCTGTTCCTTATCCCAGTGAAAAAGCCATGCCTGGAATCTTAGGGTCATACTGTGAGGAAATGCCCCTGCGTTCTTGAAGAAAGAACTAGTTTCCCTCTTTTTCAAGTTCCTGACAGTTGCCCTTGGCCTGGGCCATCAAATTAAAGACCACACTGTTGTTCTTGTCATTTAAAGACGCATCAACATTGGCTTGAGATTCCAAGCAGAAATCCCCGAACTCCAAGATATCTCTGCCCTGGCCCAGGACACACACAAGGCCACACTGGTATGGAAGCCCTGGCCAGAGCTAGAAAACCATGACCTCCAGCAAAGAGGTATTGGCACATGGGAAGAGCTGGGCGGGAGAGGTTTGATTCTCTCACTGGGATCACTGGCTCTGGGATTGGTGTGTTTTCCGTGACACTGAACTCTCTCTGATTCACCGGTTTCTCCTTATTCCCAAACAGTGGAGAATCTTCTGAATTTGTGCTGTTCAAGCGCGTTGCCAGGTGGAGGGACCAATTCTGAATTTGCTTTGCACTCTCTCTTTGAGGCCAAAGGTGATGTGATGGTAAGGAACCATGAAAAAAGAGTACTCTTTACAAATTCCTAAAGAGTATTTTCCCAAGTTTCAATATTGTCTAGCATACCATGCAACCAATTCATAATGACCAATCAGTGCATGATGACCAATCAGCATGCCTCCCTATTCCTTCTCTCAGGGAGTAGGTCAGGATATTAAAGACTGTAGAAAAAAATTTCCGGTTGGACTTCAGTTTCCACCTCTGTTCCTAAAGTTAGAACTGTGGGTATAACTGTCCTAGGAAATCAGAATTCCTTTTCCTCATCTTGCATTTCACATCAGAAAACCAAGTCTCTAGTGATGGAGGTAGACGACTTTACTGAAACAGAAGTTGGTCTAAAATAGCCTATCTACTCTGCTGATTCTTCTTCCCTGCTATGGAAATCATCCACAGTTTGATGTTTATAGCACTCTTTTCTCCTCTAACCAAAATAAAATGTTTCCTGTTCACCAACTGGTTCCATTTTCCCACTTTTAACACAGTTCTGCTGATGTTCCCAAACCCATGTCTTGGTGCTGTCTTCCCAAAATCTCAGCTAACAGTTGACCTGCTCAATCTGAACTTCCCTTTTTTTTTTTTTTTAATGGGGTCTCGCTGTGTCACCGAGGCTGGAGTGCAATGGCACAATCTCAGCTCACTACAACCTCTGCCTCCCAGGTTCAAGTGATTCTCCTGCCTCAGCCTCCCGAGAGTAGCTGGGATTACAGGCATGCACCACCACACCTGGCTAGTTTTTGTATTTTCAGCAGAGACCAGGTTTCACCATGCTGGCCAGGCCAGTCTCGAACTCCTGACCTCAGGTGATCCTCCCACCTTGGCATCCCAAAGTGCTAGGATTACAGGCCCCTGACCTCAACCTGGACTTCTGGCTAGATCACTCAATCACTAACCTCTGTTTCCCCTTTGTATAAATACATGGTAGTAGATCTAGCTTCCTGCATTTTGATTTTATGAAAATGTGAAAATAAATGTCCCAATACTATGCTACCCTTCAAGTGTTTCCTAGAATGCTGGAGAATTGTCCTTAACCCTTTGAGATCAGTGTGGCAGAGTAGCACTTCTCAAGCTTTTAATGTGCAAACACATCATCTGAGGAATCTTGTTTAAAATGCAGATTCTGATTCAGGGGGTTGGGAGGAGGGCCCAGGTTCTGCCTTTCTGACCAGCTCCCAGGTGAGGCAGGTATTCCTGTTCTATGGACCACATTTGGAGTAGCAAGATTCCAGGCCTTGCTCTTCCTGGAAACTATCTGCTGTTCAACTCTGCCTGCAGCATCTTTTAAAAAGCTACCAAGGGCCAGGCGTGGTGGCTCACGCCTGTAATCCCAGCACTTTGGGAGGCCAAGGCAGGCAGATCACGAGGTCAGGAGATCAAGACCATCCTAGCCAACATGGTGAAACCCCATCTCTACTAAAAATACAAAAAATTAGCTGGGCATGGTGGTGTGTGCCTGTAATCCCAGCTACTCGGGAGGCTGAGGCAGGAGAATTGCTTGAAACCGGAAAAGGGAAGTTGCAGTGAGCCGAGATCGCACCACTGCACTCCAGCCTGGCCTGGCGATAGAACGAGATTCTGTCTCAAAAAAAAAAAGCTCCCGAGGCTGATCTGAAGCAGTTTATTTAGCCAGGCTCTCTTGAAGGATGGTATATATGTAGTAAGTTATTACTGATACAGCTATTGATGTTCAGTTGTAATGAAACACAAGTTTTCTGTAAAACAGTTACAGATCAACTATTCATTTCCTCGGAAGCTCTGCCTAGAGACTCAGCCTCCAGTCAGAGGAGGCCCCACTCATCTCTGGGACTGGTGGGATTTTACCAGGGAAGAGTCAGGTCTTTCTGTTTTCCCGTGACATGAATAACTAGCTTCAGGCATGGAGTGGGAGGGTGTTAGAATGAGACTCTTACTGGGTGCCGAACAGACATGAAACCCTAGTTAGGGTAAGTCTCCCTCTGGGTTTCCTTCCAGTGCCCCCGCCCTGGCCTCTGCAGTGCTAACCCCTTTTCCCCTTTGGGTAGATGGTCTCCCTAGGACACACAGACCTGTTAACTGACTCTGGCCTTTTCTCTCCCCTGGGTCTACAGGTTGCTCTGGAAATGCTGCTGCTGCGGAAGCCGGTCAGGTTAAAATGTCATCCTTTAGCAAATTACCACTATGCTGGTAGGTTGCCAGGAGCCCTGTGCCCTGTTGCCTCCTGCCAGTGGGCTGCCTGCATGTTTGGTTGTGTCACTTTCTAGTAATGGATAACACCAGTTCTGTCCTAATAACCACTTGTGATCTCAAGGTCTCCAAGGGCAGAGCTATGTCTGTTGCTTTGGCACTGTTGCCATCTGTCTGTGTAGGCTCCTGCCCCTTGTGGGTATGCCAAGACCTGGGTGATACTGGACAGTGCCTGCACGTGTGGCAGGGAGACCGGTGCATGAGACCAGAGAGAGCCACAGAAGGTACAGCACCACTCTGGCAACAGCAGCCCCCCGGCTTTGGAATCAGTAGCCATGGGTTCAGATCCTGCTGTACCCCTTGACCAAGTCCTGTGGCCTTTTGCAGCCTTGGTTTTCTCACTTGTAAAATAAGACTTGTATTCCATCCCTTGTAGTGGTTTTGTGGGATGAGAGATGGTATATGTAGCCCAATGCCTGGCACATCCTAGTAGTACTTATTATTCATTTGTCCAACAATTATTTTTTGAACACTTACTGTGTCCAAGGGACTTGGTAAACACTGAGATGCATCAGTGACTACAACAGACATGGACAGAGTCCTACCTCATGTGGCTCAGAGTCTGAGGAGGAGGCAGATATTAAATCATGGATCACACTAATGACAGGGAAAGATTTCATCCACAGAGGGTTGTGTATGTGAATTAATACTAGTACCACAGTAAGAGGTAAGTAGAAGACTCCTTTGAGATTTAAATGTAGTGAGAATCGTGAAGAGCAAAGGAAATAGGTCGGGGAGCCTAAGAGGTGACTGGTGACACCGAGGTCAACATTTTCATTTCCATGCATTCTGGTAGAACTGTCTCCTTCTGAGGGTATTTCAGAGGGGGCTGAATTTTCAGTGCCTCTTGATTTTTAATCACTTGAGGGTTTCTTTGGTGCTCTGGGAAGACCCTGCCTAGGCAGGTTGTAAATATGTGGGCTTGGGGACCAAGCTATACCTTTTCCAATCTTTGGTCTCGGCAGCCAGGTGAGTGCTTCTTCACAAATACTGGCTTTCCTTCTCTACCGCTACTTGCCTCACCTACTGTGCTTTGCCTTTTTCATGAGCAAGCCTTCCTGCGTGTCATCATAAGGTAGACCTCAAAGCCCCTCATCTAGGCACAGTAAGCCCAAGACGTCTGCCTGTAGGTCACTCCCGGAACTAGGCCAGTACAGAGTGGACACATGGGATAAGAAATTCATCACTTCTCTGGTAGCCTAAAGGAGCCAGCTGCTTAATATTGTCTCTGTCATTTCCTGCTTGGTGTCTGCCCCAAATGTGGGTAGAAAGATGTAGGAGTTCTCCCTAATCTGCCATGGAAACTGTTGAGTCCTCTCTCTTAATAGTTTCCAGCATCATCTGCTGCCCATTGAACGCTGACAGGCTGTCCAGCCAGCTAGAGCCTGTCTCAAGCTTCTTTTCATGACGGGTGGGACGGTGTGTTGGCTAAAAGGAGCTTCCCAACCAAGTGCTGTGAGATGATGCTGCCCTCAGTCCTCAGAGTGGCTGTGATCACCAGAGCCTCTGGGCTGGTCAGCTTCAGCCGTGAGCAACTTCATCTGGGACACAGCTCTCCTCTGCTTCTTCCAAGTGTCCCAAACAAGTATCATTTTATGTGCATCATGACATTAAAAAGGTCAGAAAGCTATGTACTAGGAGCCACACCTAGTCAAACAAAATCAAAACAAAATAAAAACACTGAAGTCTTAACCAAAAACTGTGAAACAAGAGGGCCCTAAATTCTGCTACAATTACTTGATCTCTTGAGGTTAGGGATTTCTAGCTAATCCCTTGCCTATCCCCTGCCACCTTCCCCAGCAGGCAGACCAGGAAGGATTCTGCTGTTTTCTGGAATCATTTCAATCCTCGGAGGCAAAAGAGGTAGAGCTGAGCTGTGAAGGGTTGACATCCCCAAGAGAAGGGTACCCACCTATGTCTGCCAGTCACTTGCTTTCTCCAGGAAGAGATCATAGACTGGGACCCAGAGAATTTTCTAGAAGTATAACCAAAAAGGGCAGAGGTCACTGGTCTCTAAAGTCTGACCCAAAACCATCTCCTTAACAGTTTCCTTCTAACCCATAGGGGAGCAGCGGAGTCTTCCCCATCACATGCCCCAGCCACCACCTCCCTCCCCAACTGCTGAGCCCCCCACCATTTGCTTCCTGGGTATCAGTGAATCCCATCTCCTTGGCCCTCATTCTGCCTTGGCCTTTGTGCCTGAGCCCTGTTGGGTTGCTCTCCAGTACTGAATTCCTGTTGGCTTAATTGCCACCTTGCTGGGACCCTATCTTCTGGATCTCCGTTGGCTCCCGACTCTGTGGCTGTGACCAGTGTCACCCACCCTGAGTCCCAGCCCTGAATTTGCTCTCCAGAATCCTAGTTATCTAGAGAGGGAGTTCAGCTCTCCCAAGCCTGCCTGAGCCTGTCCGTGTCAGGGAGGGAGGCTGTAAGTTTGGGGAGAAAGACAAAGACACAGGCCTCCGAAAATCACTTCCTTACTTTACTCATTATCTTCCCTTTCCCACCCATTGCAAGCCATTGAGAAAAGGAAAAAGTGACCAGTGCTGGGACCAAGGAGAGATGTGCTGTGGGGGAAGGACCAGTGTGGTGGGCATCTCGTCCAGATCTAAGGGTTGCTTGCCAAGGCCACATGAACCCTCTATGGGATCCTCAGAGGAAGGTGCTGTTGCACTGGCTCCTGGCGCTCAACCCACACAAGGATGCACAGTCCAGCCCTCTGTGGCGCTCAGCACCCTCCCACCCATGTGTGGTGAGCAGTTGTGTACAACGGTTCCTAGTTAGCCCTTGGGTTGGGAAGGGCCGAGCGTGGGGGAGTCAGGGTGGAGAAGAAGCCTGGTTGCAATTAGAGGGATTGCAGCTTGCTTGGTTTTTTTCAGTCAACTGGTCATTCCTGCAGATGGATGGAGAGTGGAGGGGGTGTTAGAACTGACCCTGGCTTCTTGGCAAGCATTCAACAGAGGCTGCTATCGGTCCTGAGCACAGCCCAAACACCTATTCAGTCCTGAAAACCCTGACGTGAGGTGTGGAGCTGGAGGAGACCTAGAGGAAATACTCATTCCGTTGGAGAGGGCTGGTCTCTTCTGGCTTGGAAGCTGCCCCAGTTAGATGAGGAGACAGAATTACATACTCAAGAGAATAATTTGCAAGAGCACAGCTGTGATTTCATTTTCCAGGCATCCTTAGCCTGTGTCTCTATCTAGACAGTGGTTCCCTCAAGCATATGACTGAGTTAAAACTCTTTTACCTTGCCTGACACGACACTGATTTAAATTTTTAAAAATTTCTTAGTGGACAAACTCAAATTCTGGATTCAGATTGAGGCTTCCCCCTTTTTGCCCACAGAGAAAACTTTGGTAGCAACCTGCTTCACCTTGTACCCTGAAAAAAAATTACTCAACCTTCACCCACTACTGAAAACCCTGTGTGGAAATGAAAATCTGATATAAAAACAGTCCTTCTTCTACAATGAACGTGTCTGTCTTGTGTAACTACAAAACATTATCCGTGGGGCCAAGCACAGTGGCTCATGCCTATAATCCCAGAACTTTGGGAGGCCAAGGTGGGCAGATCGCTTGAGTTCAGGAGTTCAAGACGAGTCTGGCCAACACGGTGAAACCCTATCTCTACTAAAAGTACACAAATTAGCCGGGCATGGTGGCGCATCCCTGTAATCTCAGCTACTTGGGTGGATGAGGCAGGAGAGTTGCCTGAACCCGAGAGGCGTAGGCTGCAGTGAGTTGAGATCACACCACTGCACTCCAGCCTGGGCCACAGAGTGAGACGCTGTCTCAAAAAAAATAATAATAATAATCAATGTAAGTTTTAAGAAAGACAGAACGGCCCTCTAAAAGATACTGTGTCCAAACTTTCTCTCACCCCTCCATGTCTCTTTTTAATTGCCTGGTTTCACTATAGATTGCCCCCAGATTAGCCACAGTCCGGAGCCTGTTTCCCGGCAACCGAAGGTCAGAACAGCTTTCCTCCGGATACTGTTCCAGCAGCGTTTCATCCAGTTAATTAGGTTCTTTGTAATTAGCCTTAATCGTCTTGTTAGGGGCCACTGCTGGTAATAGCCCAATAGCCAGGAATCCCCAGGTAGAACAAATGAGTGCCGGAGGACTGTCAACCCAGGAACCCTATGTGCATGCTGAATGGGCAGCAGAGATCCTAGAGAGAAGGGAGGGGGGGGGCGGGGGGGGCAGCTGAAGGAAAGGGGAGGATTGGAGGCAACCCTTTGCTTCGGCTTTGTATTTTATCCTGGACTTTGTCCAAGATACAGGATCCAAGAAAGGCCGGCTTAGAATCTTGTCTAAGAATGAGGAACATGTCCCTGTCAGACAGACTCGAGGGAAGAGAGACACCTGAGCCTTTCCTTAACTTCAGATTACAGAGGGATTTTGGAGGCAGGAAGGAGAAGACTATGGATATTATAAGCAGCCAGGAGTGAGACTGTGGGATAAGAAATCCACAGAACAAGGAGCAGGTGGTCTTGAATGCCACTGTCCACATATCAGCAGGGGCAGCCTGTGTCTCATAGCCGTGGGCTGATTTGGAATCTGCTCTCCAAGTGGCCAGTGAAGGTTCAAAACATGTCCTGAACTCTTAGGACCAAACCTGCCAGTCACAGGTTTGACCTGTATCAGTCACAGGCTGACCAAACCTGTCAGCCACCATCCCCATGTCATGTGGGGAAACTTAGCTTCAGAGAAGTTAAGTGGCAGAACCAGGTTCACAACCTAAGGTGACTAAATTCACCCTTTTTATCACAGTTCAGTGATACTATTTGGGGCAGACACACTCATGTTGTTTATCTGTCCTTAGCCTGGTGGAGTTCAATCCAAGAGCCCAGGGATAGACTGTCAGTCTCAGAGGGCAATCTTGTGATTAGGAAGCCAGCTGTAGTGTGAGAATGGTTTCGTTGCCCGGACAAGCCTCTGTCCCTCGCTTTGTGGACACCCTGTTGGACAGACACTAACACATGCACACACAGAGGGTTGTCATTTGCACCAAAGCACAGACCCTAGGACTATGCAGAAGAGCCACCTCTTACTCTCTAAGACCATGCTCCCCGACACAGCCCTGCATCCCTTGGAATGGAGAGTGACATAGAGGGACAGGGAGAACATGCAGCCCACGCCAGCTCAGGACGAGTTGTACAGAGTGCACGTTCTGGAATCATGAAGGCTTCAAATCCTATGACAGAGCAGCAGTCTTAAACCGCCAGGAGTCAGCAGGGAGAAGGTCTCCTTTCCCCATGAGGTTTGGGATCTCTCCTAACAGATGGGCCAGGAAGTTACTTCACCTGTGGAGTTGCATCTGGCAAGCAATTTGGAAACATGAAGGGACATGCTTCTCAGAAATCAACAGGCCTGGGAACTGAACACTGCTTTTGGGGCCAGAAATCTGGTAGTGAGCCTAGCAGGCAGAAAGAAGTATATCCACAGGCCGGGTGTGGTGGCTCACACCTATAATCCTAGCACTTTGGGAGGCCGAGGTGGGTGGATCACATGAGGTCAGGAGTTCAAGACCAGCCTGGCCATCATGGGGAAACCCCATCTTAAAATAAAATAAAAAATAAAAAATGAAAGAAGTATATCCACTGCAGACAGGCTGAGAAGGCTGGGTGGCCCTGTTAGTGTCTTGTCGTGTCTCAGAGCTGCACTATAACTTAGGAAACTGATGGTCTGGCTGATATTGGAAAGAATTATCATTGATCTAGTTGAGGGCTTCATCAGCACAATGTCCCCTGATTCCCTATTGGAGATGCAGCCAAGGGCCATGCAGACTGTGGACCTGCAGCAGGTCAGCAGAGCAGCCTCTGTGTAAGCCTGCATGAATCAGCTGGTGTGACAGACTGCCATTGTAGTCTTCCTTCCATTGTTATCTTTCTGAACTCTCTTACCCGTTTGCTCTTTTGGTGGATACCTAAAAGGAACCATGACTGTTTGTTGTTCAGCTGAATTGTTGGTTATTCCTTTTTGTGTCCCTCTTTCTGCCTCTGTTCCTGGGTAAGGAGACCCCAAGGCTTTGAATGTTGGATAGAATTTGAAGAATGGCGATGGAAGTGCTATAGAGCCTTAAATCCCACCAACCCCCTGTGCTCACATGCACTCCGGCAAGGATTCTCCAAGCCCCCAGGCCCCCTGAGGCTCCCCTGTTGCTGTGATCTGCACAGCCAGAGCTGTCCAGTCCTCTGGAACCCATGGAAGATGGCTCCCTTCTGCTGAGGATTCATGGGAAAGCTACTTTCCTCCTAGAAGTAGAGATAAGTTTGCAGCTGGGCACAGTGGCTCATACCTGTAATCCTAGCACTTTGGGAGGCTGAGCCAGGCAGATCACTTGAGGTTTGGCGTTCAAGACCAGCCTGGCCAACTTGATAATACCCTGTCTCTACTAAAAATACAAAAATTAGCTGGGCATGGCAGCACGCACCTGTAATCTCAGCTACTCAAGACACTGAGGCAAGAGAATCACTTGAACCCAGGAGGCGGAGGTTGCAGTGAGCCAAGATCTCACCACTGCACTCCAGCCTGGAAAACAGAGCAAGACTCCATCTCCCCACCCAAAAAAAAAAAAAAAAAAAATTATGTATATGTTTGCAAACCAAATACATTGGGTGGTGGCCCTGCTTTTGTAGAAGTCTGACCCAGCCCAGCTGTGGAGAGCATATTCTGAGTCTGGAGCCAAAGCTCCTGGCTTGAGGACCCATCAAGGAGTCATACAAGGAAGTTGTTTATTTCAGAAATGTGAGTTTACATCACTGAACCACATACTCTCCTAAGGACCCTAGGCTCCCCATCTGTGGTCTAAGGAGGCCCCTGCCTGCCCAGAGCAGTTTCACCTGATTCACTTATTTTGGCCAAATACTACAAGGGAAGAGGCAATTAGAGTTTCCTGTACTACAGCCCCACCAGTTGACCATAGCAAAATGGAAGCTTGGACTTGCCGGGAATGGGAGGAATGATATTATGGTTTGGGGTACCAGAGCTCTGAGAAGTGTAGTGAGGTCAAAGCCTTGGCCTAATAGAATCCAAAGAATAAGAGATGTGAAAATTCAGCAGGCCAGAAGAACAAGACTGAGTTTTCCTGAACCAGCCTCAGTGGTTGAACCTTCCCTAGAGCCCCCAGAAATAGGAGTCCCCTTAGAAGTAAGCCTTATTTGTTGCCCTAAACAAGCCAGTACCATTTTATATTATATATATATATTATATATATATATATATATTTTTTTTTTTTTTTTGAGACGGAGTTTCGCTCTTGTTACCCAGGCTGGAGCGCAATGGCGCGATCTCGGCTCACCGCAACCTCCGCCTCCTGGGTTCAGGCAATTCTCCTGCCCCAGCCTCCTGAGTCAATGGGATTACAGGCACGCGCCACCATGCCCAGCTGATTTTTTGTAGTTTTAGTAGAGACGGGGTTTCATCATGTTGACCAGGATGGTTTCGATCTCTTGACCTCGTGATCCATCCGCCTCGGCCTCCCAAAGTGCTGGGATTACAGGCGTGAGCCACCGCGCCCGGCCCATTTTATATTATTATCTGCATATCCTGCTTTCTTTCTTGGAGGAAAAAAACATAAATATCAGGTTTAGCCAGTAAGACATATGCAGCAGCCCAGCAGTGAAGCCTCTCCCTCTTCAGTCAGCAAATCTGTCAAGAACTGGCTCCACTCACCTCTCCAGCCTCATCTGCTACTACTGGAACCTTATACTGGAACCAGATTAGATTACTAGTTGTTCTTTAAAAACCTCCATTTCCTCATCTGTCAAATGGGCTCATCATCATCATAATCTTACAGGATTGTTAATAGAACCTAATGATGAATAACTGAAGTACTTAGAACGGGGCATATAGTAAGCACTTAGAAATGTTAATGCTGGCCGGGCGCGGTGGCTTATGCCTGTAATCCCAGCACTTTGGGAGGCCAAGGCGGGCAGATCACCTGAGGCTGGGAGTTCAAGACCAGTCTGACCAACATGGAGAAACCCCGTCTCTACTAAAAACACAAAATTAGCTGGGCATGGTGGCACATGTCTGTAATTCAAGCTATTCAGGAGGCTGAGGCAGGAGAATCACTTGAATCCAGGAGATGGAGGTTGCAGTGAGCCAAAATCGTGCCATTGCACTCCAGCCTGGGCAACAAGAGCAAAACTCCATCGCAAAAAAAAAAAAAAAAAAATAGAAATGTTAATGCTATTTTTTCCTAGCACAGCATCTTGCTTATAATATGCACCTAATAAATATCTGTTGAATGAATGGCTGAAGTGCATGACTTCCCTCTTGCCTCTGACTTTGCACATCCTGCTTCCTCTCCCCAGAATACTCTTCCATCTCCTTATTGTCTGACTTGCTTCTATATAACCTTTAAAACTCAACTCAGATGTTTTCTTTACCTGGAATCCTTCCTGGCTGCTCTGGTCCTAACCTAAGGGTGGTGTTTCCCCTATGTGCCCCACTGGCATCTCACCTTTACCTGAATAATTATAGTTACCACCTTGAACGTCATGGCCTCCTGGTTTGTCTCCCAAGTAGATTGTGGGCATCTTGAGAGTGGAGGGTGAATCCGTCCACACCCTGAAGGGTACTTGCTACATGAATGTTTTTATTGGTGAATATAATAATTGTGTTAAAACCGTACCTAAAATTTGTTGAATGCTCACTGTTCCCCCGTGATTATGCTGGGAATTTTTTTGCATTATCTTCTTTAACTTTCACAAAAATCCTAATCAGTGGAGGCAATTATAATTATTCCCATTTGTAGGTAACAAAAAAGGCTTAGAATGAGTAACTTGCCAAGGTCAACGCCATAGCTGGGATTTGAACCCAGGTGTCAAAGCTCCTAACCATTATATCACACTATCTTTTTGTTCAAATGGGAGTTTGGTATGCATTATATCACAGTTGTATTTTGTAACTTAGCTAAATGAACCAACAACTAAAAACGGGAAACTGTGAGTTGTTCTTATGAGGTTTGTGTTTCGTTGTAGGTTCGGACAAGTGGACCTCCCTAGAAAGAAAACTGTTTAACAAAGCACTAGCCACTTACAGCAAAGACTTTATTTTTGTACAGAAGATGGTAAGCATGATTTTTCCCACTGCCGCCTTGAAATTAAATTTGGGAAATTGTACACAAAAATATTTAGAACTATTTGGTTACTGGTTTAAGATACTTACAAAGAGGATGTCTTCCACATTCGCTGGTGAGGGTGGTAGGGAATATAGGGGTGGTGTGGCCCCAGTGTTAGGAGTGTGGCAGGGAGAGGACACGGAAAAGAAGGCATAGATTATCTGGACACTGCAGTGGTGTGGGGTTATTTTCTAACTTAATAAAAATGTGTAATTCATAATTCTATTAGAATAGCTAGAACTCGGGCTCCTGGTTCACAATTTACATAATTTTATTTATTAATTAATTTATTTATTTATTTTTGAGACAGAGTTTCACTCTGTCACCCAGGCTGGAGTTCAGTGGCATGATCTTGGCTCACTGCAGCCTCCACCTCCTGAGTTCAAGCGATTCTCCTGCCTTAGCCTCTAGGGTAGCTGGGATTACAGGCATGCACCACCACACCTGGCTAAGCTTTGTATTTTTAGTAGAGACGGGGTTTCATCATGTTGGCTAGGCTGGTCTTGAACTCCTGACCTCAAGTGATCTACCTCCTTCAGCCTCCCAAAGTGCTGGGATTACAGGTGTGAGCCACCACACCTGGCCATACATAATTTATTTTATGTATATTTGACAAACCTATCACATTTCTGACAGAATTTCTTTCTGGGAAACTGGGGAAAGGAGAACGTGTGGCCTCCCTCTACCCAGTAGCAGAGTTTCTGGTGTTATAATGACAGTAATAATAAAAATACCTTGCATATACAGCATTTTAAAGCAAAATAAAACTTGCGCATAGATGAAATAGCACTTTATGCAACAGATAAACATTGACTTTATTGGCTAAGAGGTGGTTTAGCGTAAAAAATTAAAACCATTCAAAGAGTGTTTCAACATATTGATGAATGATGGAGCCATATTGTGTTAAAGACAGTTAAGGCTGTTCAGGTACACAGAGAACAGGGCCACCGGTGACAGTGCCCACTGACTCCTGGCTGGGACAGATGGTCCTTGGAGGTGTCTAGGGTGGCATTTCTCTTGTCGTCAGTCTAGGGCCTTGCCTGGACAAACATGAGAAGCAGGAGGACTTTGTCTCTGACTTTCCTCTGACTCCGTATCTGCATTTGCACCTGCCTTGCCCTTTGCAGCCACCATACCTTTGCTGCCCTGTGTGCCCGGCAGCTCTCATGCTCCATCTTTCTTGAGTCACCCTCCCCCCAGGACTGGTCTGGCATAGACCTCAATCCTTGAAGGCCCCACACTATGGTCTATGATGGATTCGTGTATTGAGCTTACCCGGCAACGTGGGTTTTAACCCAGGGCCCTCTGGGATGGACACCATCCTCTCTCCCTCGGATGATTCTAGTGTGGAAATTCCAGGTGTTGGGGATGAGAAGGGGACAACTTTGAGGAGACAGGACTTGGTGCCCCTCTCATCTCACCATGTAGGTGGCCTTGTTCCCACCCTCAAAGGTAAGGCCAGCCTTTAATCTGAATCCAGCAAACCCACATTATTACACCTCAGCTGATCGCAGAGCATATAAACTAAACAAAGGAATGTTTTTGCCTTGAGATGCATAGACCTTTGCCTCTTTGAGGTTGAAAAGGGCAAGGCCCATTTCCTGCGAAACCTAATCTCTGTCATCATAACTTTTGCCTTATATTCCTAGTCTATTGCTAAGGAACATTTCTCATAAGCAGATTTTGAAGGTCAAGTTAGAGCCATTCAAGCATATTAAATGAAAAAGCAGCTGCTTTATGGGTTAAAAAAAAATGAGTAAGTCTGTAAGGACTGATCTGAAAAAATCTCCAAGCCATATTACGAAAACAATCAAGTTGCAAAGCAGTATTTATAGTGTTTTCTGAGGAAGGATGGTGGAGGGAAGGAATATATTTGTGTGTGTGTTGGCTGGTACATGCCTTAAAAAGTTCTGGAATGAGGCTGGGTGTGTTGACTCCTGCCTATAGTGCCAGCACTGTGGGAGGCCGAGCCAGGAGGATCACTTGAGGTCAGGAGTTTGAGATCAGCCTGGCCAACATGGTGAAACCCCATCTCTACTAAAAATATGAAAAAATGAGCTGGGTGTGGTGGTGGGTGCCTGTAATACCAGCTACTCAGGAGGCTAAGGCAGGAGAATCGCTTGAATCCTGGAGATGGAGATTACAGTGAGCCATGATCACGCCACTGCACTCCAGCCTGGGCAACAAAGTGAGACTTCATCTTAAAAAAAAAAAAAAATTCTGGGCCAGGCGCGGTGCCTCACACCTGTAATCCCAGCACTTTGGGAGGCCGAGGCGGGCGGATCATGAGGTCAAGAGATGGAGACCATCCTGGTCAACATGGTGAAACCCCGTCTCTACTAAAAATACAAAAAAATTAGCTGGGCGTGGTGGCGCGTGCCTGTGGTCCCAGCTACTCGGGAGACTGAGGCAGGAGAACTGCTTGAACCCAGGAGACGGAGGTTGCAGTGAGTCGAGGTCACGCCACTGCACTCCAGCCTGGCGCCTGGTGACAGAGTGAGACTGTCTCAAAAAAAAAAAAAAAAAGTAAGAAAAAATTCTGGAAGGATAAGAAATTAACGCAGGGGGCTACCTGTATTGCATGGTGAGGGGTGAGGACAGGCATGGGAAGGAGGCCTTTCACTGTGTACCTTTTTCTTTTGAACTGTATAAACTTATTTATTACCTATTATAAAATTAAATATTCAAAAAATCTTGCTGCCTTTGCTCTCTGCCCACTGCTAGAGCTAACCTTGAGCTCTCTTTCCTGGCAGGTGAAGTCCAAGACGGTGGCTCAGTGTGTGGAGTACTACTACACGTGGAAAAAGATCATGCGGCTGGGGCGGAAACACCGGACACGCCTGGCAGAAATCATCGACGACTGCGTGGTGAGTAGAGCTGCTAAGCCATTGCTTGTGCTGGCGCAGCTCCCACCCCAGGCCCGGGTTAGTAAGTGGCTGGTTTTTGGTTTGGCTTTGCTGCCAAGATAGCCAGAGTAAGTGACAACAGCCCAGCTCCCCTGCAGGATTCAGGACCTGCCCTCCTGAGTAGGTAGAGGAAAGGTGTCCATAGGTTTGGCCTGTAGCTCAGTGTTCAGATACAGAGGTGAGGGCTAGCGCCCACTTCAAGGCAGCTAGGAGCCAGAAGAGTTAAACCAAGGATGGTCCCAGCCTTGGCTTTGTTGGTTTATGATTGGGTGTCCTGACCCCCTGGAATACTCTTTTCTGATCTTCCCATGTCATAGATGCTACTGACCTGAGACCATAATGTGCCTCAGAAAGGGGCCCTGGGATTTTGCCACAGTCTGTAAAGCATGAGCAAGAGGAGCTTTGACCTGTAGGTAGTGCCAGGAACCCTCCATCACTGAGGAGCTAATTCACTGCATGTAGATGATACTAATCCTTACATCACCATTCATCCCTGGGATTGATTTCCTTCATTAGCACACAGTCCATGGTCAACTGCACATTAAGTACGTACCAATGACCCAACAAGACCTAACTTGTCTCTGAACCCTTATGTGTGGCTTTGATGATTACTATCACTTGTGATCCTTGTAATTAACTTTCCACCCTGCATCTATAGCCACGGGAAATCTCCTTTTTATACTCTGTGGAAAACATTACCACCTACCATATTTGTGTATATAAAAATTATGTCTTGGCCGGGCGTGATGGCTTACGCCTGAGAGGCTGAGATGGGGGGATCACAAGGTCAAGAGATCGAGACCATCCTGGCCAACATGGTGAAACCCCATTTCTACTAAAAATACAAAAAAATTAGCTGGGCATGCTAGAGGTGGGGCGGGTTCCAGTGAGCCAAGATCACGCCACTGCACTCCAGCCTGACAACCTCAAAAAAAAAAAATTGTGTCTTCCAACATTACTAAACTCTAGCTTCTGTCACCATCAATGGAAGTACTGGGAATTCATGAATTATGTAAATATTTGAAATTATATTTTCATTCCCAGTTGTGCCCCAGTTGTAAGGATTAGCATGTGTGTGTTATTTTCTTTAACAGACAATGAAATAGCAGTTTTCATGTGCCAGACATTGTGTTAGGGACTTTATAAATATTGACTCATTTAATTTAATGTAATTCATTTAATACCAGTTCTTTGTGGTAGGAAACCGAGGCACAGAGCTTAAGTAAATTGGCCATAATCACACAGCTGCTGAGTGTATTGTTGAGCCTGACTCCTTTGTGTAGTTAAGAGCAATCAGGGCTGGGCGCGGTGGCTCACGCCTGTAATCCCAGCACTTTGGGAGGCCGAGGCGGGTGGATCACGAGGTCAAGAGATCGAGACCATCCTGGTCAACACGGTGAAACCCCATCTCTAGTAAAAATACAAAAAAAAAATTAGCTGGGCATGGTGGCGCGTGCCTGTAATCCCAGCTACTCAGGAGGCTGAGGCAGGAGAATTGCCTGAACCCAGGAGGCAGAGGTTGCAGTGAGCCGAGATCGCGCCATTGCACTCCAGCCTGGGTAACGAGCGAAACTCCGTCTCAAAAAAAAAAAAAAAAAAAAAGAGCAGTCAGATGCAACTTTTCTTTTGTTTGTTTGAGACAGGGTCTCAGTTTGTCACCCAGGCTAGAGTGCAGTGGCACGATCATAGCTCACTACAGCCTCAACTTCCTGGGCTGAAGCAATCTTCCCACCTCAGCCACCTGAGTAGCTGGAACTACAGGCGCACACCACCACACCCCGCTCATTTTTTAGTTTTTTGTAGAGACAATGTCTCACTGTGTTGCCCAGGCTGGTCTCGGACTCCTGAACTTAACCTATCCTCCTGCCTTGGCCTCGCAAAGTGCTGGGATTACAGGCTCACCCCTGTAATCTCAGTCTACTGCACTTGGCCACACATTTTCTTAAAGAAGCATAAAAAATTGGGACTCATTAATGCTTCAAAGCCTATGCTTTTAACTAAGAATTGATCCTAGCTATGAAATATACATACATATATACATTGATGTTTGAGTCCAAATATCAGAGAAAATGGAAATCTGTAGATTAGAATGGTATTGCCATTTCTTCAATCAGAGATGGCAATATTCTATATGCAGGGTTTCTTGTGACCAGCATTTCTGTTTGACTCATTGAAGGAGTGATGTATTATATCAGAATAGTCTTTCACTCGTCTGTGGCCTAATGTTTTAAAAAACAGTATGATCTCCTCCAGTTCAGTCACCTAAAAGCAGTTGAACTCCCACAATGTAAACAGCAATGAAGAGCCGGGCGCGGTGGCTCACGCCTGTAATCCCAGCACTTTGGGAGGCTGAGCTGAGTGGATCACCAGAAGTCAGGAGTTCAAGACCAGCCTGACCAACATAGTGAAACCCCGTTTCTTTAAAAAAAAAAAAAAAAAAAACAAACAGCAATGTGTATGTAGTGCTGTGGGTTGTGGGTAACCTGAGGATGTTAAATGGCGCTTCCCTCCTCTCCCCACACCACACAGAGCATATGTCCTTGCTGGGAAGATGTAACATGTGTAAGTGGAAATATACCACGAACTCCAAGAGTGTTTAAAAACAGTTTGCAGCGGGGCACAGTGGCTCACGTCTGTAATCCCAGCACTTTGGGAAGCCAAGGTGGGCGGATCACCTGAGGTGAGGAGTTCGAGACCAGCCTGGCCAACATGGTGAAACCCTGTCTCTACTAAAAGTACAAAATGAACCAGGTGTGGTGGCACACACCTGTAGTCCCAGCTACTTGGAAGGCTAAGGCAGGAGAATCGCTTGTACCCAGGAGGCAAAGGTTGCAGTGGGCCAAGATCATGCCACTATACTCTAGCCTGGGCAACAGAGTAAGTCTCTGTCTCAAAAAAAAAAAAAAAAAAAAAAAGTTTGCAATGAGAACTGGAAAGTCTTAGATACAGGCTTAAGGACGCTTTCATCCAATTTCACCATTTTACAGGCAGAAAGTTGAGACCCAGGAGGGGAAAGGGCTTGCCCAAGGTCACACAGATCATTGCTTTCCAAATGAGTAGAAGAGAGAGTAAACAAGGAAGCACAAAGATTCCTAGCCTCGAAGGCCTAGGCCTTGCTCCTAGGTTTGCTGGCCTGTAAAATGGCCAGACAATTTAAATGATCTAGAAAGTCCATTCCAATTCTGGAATGTCCTGGGGTCTGTCGGTGCCATGTTTGGGAAGAGGGGCAAAATCAGAGGATATGGTCTTCTAAGGTAAATTGTTGTATCTTAGGCTTTGGTGTTATCAAGTGCCTAGGACAGTGCCTGGCATAATACAGTCACTCAATAAATTAAGAGTGAATATTTTTCCAAGATAGGAGTCACTCTGGTTCATAACAATATTCCTTCTGTGAATTCACTGGAGGGAGATGGAATGAACAGGGGATGCTGAGCACAGGAGTGACAATAACAAAGATGTTTCCACACAAGGCAGAGGCACCATTTTGGACTGCCTGGGCTTTGAAGATGGGTAGGAAGGCCCAGGCCACCATGAAGCCTCAGTTTAAGGAGAAGAGGGTGAGACGATGCCCGAGGGGCCACACCTTCTTGAGTTTACTCACCAGGAGCCAGTATTAGGCTGGGCCAGGAGTATCCACACCCTCATTACTTGTGAGCTTTCGGGAGAGCAAAAGGCTTATGTGCAGAGATGACTCAGGCCCACAAAAACAAGAAAATCTTGATTAAAGGCCAATATGGCAGCTCACAGCTCCTTTGTGGGTACTGTGTGCACAGTCAGCCTTCTGAGGATAGTTTCCCAAGTGGAGATGAAAAATTGGGATGCTGGAGAGGGTGCGCCTGGGGAGGGTGCACCTGGGGAGGGTGCACAAGGCACAGTCCTAGGATGTGGTCCTACTCTTTGTCCTCGGGGCCTACCTGGGACACCTGGGACAGCTCTCCTGATCATGTGTCTTCAATGTTTTGCGTAAGGGCGGGTGACCATTTCCCTCCCGGTGGAACATGAAGGAACATGCTCAGGTAGCTCAGGGATTATTGAGGACTTGAGAGAGAGGAAAAGAAGGAGGTTTGAAAGGAATAATTGCCCTTTAGCTAAGTAGATGGAGGTCGACAGAGCACAGTTGCTCCCTCAGCAGGGCAGTGTGGCTGGAAACAGAAGAAGGGAGCCAAGATGGGTTCTGTTAATGAGGTGAGAGGAGAAGGTGCTAGCCGCACCTTCCTGTCCCCTGTCTGTGCTCATGCTCCCCGACTCAGGACAAATATATGGGGCTGGCTGTAACCAAATTTCAACACAGTTCAACAAACCAACTGAGGCAGTTAACTGACTGTGGAAAACAGCAATCAGGGTTCCAAGGGCAAAGGTAGAACTCACCGTGGTGTCAGCACACTTGCCTGCAGCACAGTGCATTGATGAGGGCCTTGGGAAACCTCCTTCCCTTTGACATTTTAAAGCAGCTGGTTCCTGTGATATTGAGAGGTTTAGGATTTCTAAGCTGTTTACAGATGGACAAATGTGCACCTGTGGCAGGTCCAAGGAGTGAAGAAGGTTGAGGTTTTGGAATAAGATAGACCCAGTATTGAATCTCAGTTCAACTTTTTTACCAGATGTGTGACCTTGAGAAACTTATTTCTTGGGTCAATTTCCTCATTTGTTTAAAACTGAAAAAAATTTTACAGTGTTGTGAGAACTAGAGTGTGTGTGTGTGTGTGTGTGTGTGTGTGTGTGTGTGTGTGTGTGTAATGCATGATTCTTAGCAGGCAGTCAATATTGTCATCATCATCATTATTATTAGTGACCATAACACTCAAATTTGTGTCTTTGAGCAGATTTGGGTTGTTGAGCATTTGTATTCTAACTTACCAATTTATTATCATATGAATTCCATTTGCATGCCTGAGAAGTAAAAATACCCTCCTCAAGAAACTTACTGTGGACACTCAAGGCTCTGAACACCATGTTAAATGTATAGCCTCCTACCCACCCCATATTTGCTCATCTTCTAATTTTGGAATATACTAAATGTTTTGTTTCACAATATATCATAAAATGACCAACCTGGCCAGGCACGGTGGCTCACGCCTGTAATGCCAGCAGTTTAGGAGGCTGGATCACGAGGTCAGTAGTTCAAGACCAGCCTGGCCAATATGGTGAAACCCCATCTCTACTAAAAATACAAAAATCAGCTGGGCGTGGTGGCACATGCCTGTAGTCCGAGCTGCTCGGAAGGCTGAGGCAGGAGAATAACTTGAACCCAGGAGGCAGAGGTTGCAGTGAGCTGAGATTGCACCACTGCACTCCAGCCTGGGTGGCAGAGCAAGACTGTCTTAAAAAAAAAGACCAACTTGTTGATACAAAGTTCTACATGTTAAGATTTCTGTTGTTCTATCTTTATACCTCTTAGTCACTTTGGTGAGCCATATGGCTTGATGATAAATCATATTGCGATTTATAGATTGCCAGTTGAAATAAAACCTATCTAAATCCTTGAGACATACATAATCATGGTACAGTGTGATTTAATCTATAATTTTGTGGCTATATGGAGCATGTCTTCTAAAAACATTTAAGCCAAACAATGCCATTGTGAGAAAGTTGTCGTTGTAACAAATAGCATGAAACAAATGCATTGTCATTCGTTGTATACAGTTATTTTTAAATGCCAAACTGTAGGCCGTGGCCTACTTAACGTTTGAGACCATAGAGTCCCAGTTTGACATAACATGGTTTTTGCCTGAAACTCTTTGGGATGGAAAGATGGTATAGTCCTACAGGAATAAGACCACCTAAGTGAGATCAACCTGTATGTTTTAAACTAGTAAGAGACCAGCTGCTTATATCATAAGTCACTTTGTTGAATGTACTAGGTCTACATCAGTATTCACTGAGGTCTTCTAACAAATGTGATCATTACTAATTAATCCTGTTTACCCAGTGGAAACTGGTGCCATTTCTTAAATACACCGTGTTTACACCGCATCTCAAGTAAGCGTGCTATATAAGGACAATACTGAAACAGTGAGGGGCTACTGAATGCCACATACATACTGGCATTCTCTCTCTGTCTCTCTCTCTCTCTCTCTCTCTCTCTCACACACACACACACACACACACACACACACATCCCAAATCCAAACTGCAGAGAGGAAGTTTGTGGCTTCTGGGTCCTAGGATATCACTACTTTCAGAAATCTTTATCTTTCTTGGAAAGTCTTGCTTCTGAGCTTTAAGAATCATGGGCTCTGCAACTCTATGCTCTGCCCTCAGATGGTAGGAAAAAAAAAAAAAAGAATCACGGCCTCCCCAGTCACACCACTGTCAGGGGTAAAGTAGACTGGAGCCCACGCGTGTTAAGTGATGAGTTATGCAGAGAGCTTGGCAGAGACAAATGACCTGCCAGGTCAGGGGCAGCTGGATATGCCTTTTCCTTCCCTGTTTATCAAACGGGAGGACTGTTTACAGCCTGTTCAGTGGCATAGTAAATGTGAAAGCACTTAGTAAACTGTACAATAAAAGCTGAAATGAGGCTGATTGGTCCTAAGCCCTTTTGGGGCCTGCAGAAGCCAGCAACCCTCACACCTACCCTGGGAAGGATTGAGAGAGCAGAATAAAGTAGTTAGTTAAGCAAGGGGAGAATGAGAGCCTCCTGGATTCCTGCCCTTCCATCCCGGCACACCCAGGGCACCCACTTCAAGCTATTCCAGTAACTTACTGTTCTGTTAACCTTGAGAAAGGCAGGGACCTTCTGCTTAATTCTCCACATGGCTGCTGTTCTGAAGTGGGAAGAGGGGCTGTAGAAGCAGAGGAGATCATTATTCACAGGAAATATTTTCTTGTTCTTTTTCATTAAATGCCTCTGGTAGGAGAAAGTGAATAAATAGAAACATTGAATACACTGCTTTTTCTGAGCCCATGGTCAGAGACAAAAGGAAAAGCACATGATAAATAAAAGGGAATCTCCCCTTCCATTTTCTCTCCTTTCATTCAATCTTCTGACAAGACCAGAGCGGAGCGCCCCTTGTGTCACGTGCTTTCTGCACACCACAGGTCAAATCCGGCATCTTGCCCAGTGGTGGTATGTTATAAAGCCTCTAAAACAAATCAGCATAGATCCTTCTTTAGTCTCTCTCCAAGGGGGATTCCACAGTATTGTTACTGCTGGAAAACCCTCTTCACCGCTATGAGGAGAGAGAGCTACTCACGGGCAGGCTGCGTGAGTTTTAGTCATTTTAAGATCTGATGGTTTTGAACAAGGTGGGGAATCCTTGCATATAGAAATTGCTCCTCTCTGCCTCACCATGTCTTTATGTAAGTGATGAGGGGTCCCAAAGTGGGGCAGGGGACTTACTTCCTTCACTTCAAAGTCCTAAGCATCCGGAGACCAACCTTTTTGGGTTCATGCCTAGCAGGCTCTGTCCGCTGTTCCTCATGCAAAAGGAAAGGAACACAGCCCCAGCATCCAGCCCCACTCTCCTCTGTTGGTCTGTGAGTTCTGTTCATCACTAAGAATGCCATTTGAGGATTTCCCCTCTTGCTTTTATTACCTTAACACTAGACAAGTGAAGAAGAAGAAGAGTTAGAGGAGGAGGAGGAGGACCTGGAAGAAGATAGGAAATCCACAAAAGAAGAAGAAAGTGAGGTGCCGAAGTCCCCGGAGCCGCCACCTGTCCCAGTCCTGGCTCCCACGGAGGGGCCGCCCCTGCAGGCCCTGGGCCAGCCCTCGGGCTCCTTCATCTGTGAAATGCCCAACTGTGGGGCTGTAAGTGTCTCTGTGTCATCCGGGGATCTGGGACAAGGGAGGGCCGTATAGCCGTGCCTGGCTTTAAGAGATGATGTATTTTCGAGAGTGCTCTTCCAACAATCACAGTTTGGCAGAGGGTGCTCCATGTTGCCATAGTTTTCTTCTTCATTGGCCAGCAGGTATTTCCAGAGTGTGTGTTCTGTGTCAAGCACAATGCTGTGTGTTGGAGAACACAAAGAAGGCCCCTGTGCCTAGCAAGTGTATGATTCCAAGCTCCGCAGCCAGCGTTGGCCTCCAGAACATACATTCCACATTTCCTGGAGCTTCCGCACTCCCCCGGGCTGTGTGTCACATAAGCTTGTGCCCTGTCGACATGCATTTAAATGTACTAGGAGAGCCTGCTGACAAAGATCATCCTTTTATGACATAATTACTTGCCCCACCTCCTGCATTTTTACCTTAGAAGGTTTTGCATTTCACATTTTACAAAGTGTGACTAATTGAAATGTCACTAATTTAAAATTTGAGAACATTGTTACAAAGATGTAACTAAAGTTTATCCTTGTACTCTATGGCAGAGAAAAAAAAGATTTACTAAAAGTAAATTCATCATGTAAACAGGCTGAAAGGGACTGTGTGTCAATACTGAGCCTAGTACTTTTCAAGACTTTTCGAAGCATAATTTAGCTAAAATAAAACAAATTCACCATTTGGTCATTCTTAGCACTAAGGAAAGACCTTATAGTATCTGTGCTGGCCTTGTCTAAGGCTCCATGTATATTTTAAAGGATATTTTTAAAGGTTATTTCTCAGTCTCCCACCGGTCCCCCACTAGTCTGAATTAGTGAGCTTTCTCCAAATCAGGTTTCTTAAAGCCAGGCACACCTGTATAGGCAAGTTCTAAAGGGATTACCCCTCAAAATAATGTTGCCCCTTCCACAGGAAGCCCATTTTCCTCAAGTCAGTGTGCTTGTCTTTGCTCGTACTTGATGTAGGACAGTGCTGTTCTGCAGAGTATACTGAATGCTGCTTATGAAGTCTGTCACTTAGATGGAGAAGGCAGCAGTCTTTAAAATATTTAGATCCTAAACCAGAAATTCATTTGATTTGCATTTAAGAAAAAGTGAAAAAAATTTTTTAAAAAAAAAGATATATACATTTTCCATTCACTGTTCACTCTGGAGAGAACAGAAGAGATTGCTGGCTTGTTTTCCATCTTTTATGTTTAATGACCTGGCCATTTTGTATAGAGTGTTCAGTGCAGGCATGATTACGGTAATGATTTTAAGTGATGGTATTTCTTGGTGAATTTGTTCAGAAATTGGATGCCTCCTCAAATCACGGTTCTATGTACATTAAATTGTTTACCAAATGGGAAGTTATTTTTTACTTTTCCCAGTCAAATGCTCAGCAAGGTAGATATTTTCCTGTTCCAATTTTTCTGTACATAAAAAAAGAAAAAAAAAGATTTTTTTTTTTCTGAGATGGAGTTTTGCTCTTGTTGCCTGGGCTGGAGTGCAATGAATGGCGTGATCTCAGCTCGCCACAACCTCCACCTCCTGGGTTCAGGTGATTCTCCTGTCTCAGCCTCCAGAGTAGCTGGAATTACAGGTACCACCACCACACCCAGCTGTTTTTTGTATTTTTAGTAGAGACAGGGTTTCACCATATTGGCCAGGCTGGGCTTGAACTCCTGACCTCAGGTGATCTACCCACCTCAGCCTCCCAAAGTGCTGGGAACACACACTTGAGCCACTGTTTCCGACCAAAAGAAAAAAATGTTTTAAAATGACTTTTTAAAATCACAGTGGAAAAAGCATGGTGATTTTTATTTTATTTTATGTTATTCCTTGCCTAACGATGGAAGCTTTGGCTGCTAAGTCAGCGATAGGTTTAAACCTAAACAGAGCTCATAAACCTAACACAGCAACTACTACAGCTAGACAGCCAGTAGGTACTCCCCTTAGCTGAGGAGTTTAACAAGCTGGGAGTCAGGGCTCTTGGGATTCAGGGACACGGATTTACATCCCTTTATAGTGATGGTTCTGAACTGGAGATGATTTGTTCCCCAAGAACATTGGCAATGTCTAAAGATATTTTTGTCATAAATGGGGAGGTGCTACTAGCATCTGGTAGTCAAATGCCAGAGATGCTGCTAAACATCCTATGTAGCAGAGTCCCCCACCCATCACAACAAAGAATTATCCAGCCCAAAATGACAGTAGTGCTGAGGTTAAGAAACCCAGCTTTATGGCAGGCTTTTAAAATACTGCCCAGATCCTTTCTCTTTTTCTCATTCTGTATTAAAATTTGGGGGTCTTAAACATTGCTTCAACAACGGGCTACTGATTAAGGCAATATATAACATAGAATATGTCAGAAAATCTCATCATTGTCTTTCAAACTGGGTTCCTTAGAGAGCTAGGGCTTCCTGGGGGTACTCAGAGCTGAGCAAACAGGCCCAGTTCTGCAGCACTGTCTCCATTCTAGCCAGCGCACCTCTGCTTTTAACTTGAGCCTGTGTTTTTTGAGTAAGACCTGATTTGTTTAAAAAAGAAAAAGGAAGCGAGGGAAAGAGGAAGGAAGGGAAAAAATGGGAGGGAGGGAAGGAGGTAGTTATCAGCTTTTTTCAAAGTTTGAAAGCTTGTCCAGCTCCCGCATTTTTCAGATGGAAAAAAATATACAGAAGGGAAATGGCCCAACAGCTTTAGTTATAATAGAGCTAAACCCCTGATGTCTTGACTTCTAGACAATAGCTTTGTCCTTTATCTGTGCCACATTGCCGCTTCTCTTCTGGTTATAGCAGTGATGAGGTTTTGATTGGCACAGCATTTGTGGTTGTCGTATTTGATCTTTACTTTTGTAGCATATGCCCAAAGTTTGCTTATATAAACCCTTGTGCCCTGTCGTTAGACAGTTTCAAGTATGCCATGTTTACCACTGAGTAACTAATAACCCTAATTTCCTTTTCAGGACTGTAGATGTCATGTCACTCCATTTCTTCCCCAGGTGTTCAGCTCCCGACAGGCACTGAATGGCCATGCCCGCATCCACGGGGGCACCAACCAGGTGACCAAGGCCCGAGGTGCCATCACTTCTGGGAAACAGAAGCCTGGAGGTGCCCAGAGTGGGTACTGTTCGGTGAAGAGCTCACCCTCTCACAGCACCACCAGCGGCGAGACAGACCCCACCACCATCTTCCCCTGCAAGGAGTGTGGCAAGTAGGTGCAGGGACCAGGGACTGAATCTGAGTTCATGATGGATAATTGCTCTATGGGGGCTGGGCCAGGATGGCCTGAGGTTTCTTCAATCAGAAAAAGAACGTAGACCTCAAAACTCTTCTTCATACCATCTTTGGGATGGATATGTAGGCTTCGCCGCAGATTCAGAATATGGCCCTTCTGTTATCTTAGAACCTTGTAAGGATGGATCTCTTCAGAGAGTGAACCTCTAGTTACAAAACTTTACTCTTTCCCAGAAATGAAAAGTGGGACTCTGGTTCCCACTCCTTTCCTTCACACCCAAGCTATATTCACTAGCATTACTCTTGTTGCATCCCTGCTGAATGGTTTGAGAATAGCTCTAGAACACTTAATCAGGAACTCTCTATAACACAGATGGCTCATACATGATACTCCTACCACTATCGCTTACTTCCATGCCCAGGACAGACATCACTAATCAATCACCACACTCTTTGCTATCACGTTAAGACAGAGCCTCAAATACTTTTCATTGTCATGCTTCAAGTTGCATAACCAACTGATCAGAGTTGATACATGAAATAAAACCTATTTGTTATCATGCCCTTTTAGGTATAATTTAAAACAAGAACTAAAAAGGAAAAGTGACATGCGATAGTAATTATAATAGCTAACATTTACTGAGCACTTATTTTGTTACATGCGTTATTTGTATGAACTCATTTAATCTTTACATAGAAACTCCATGTGATACAGTTTTTTATCCTTGTTTTACAAATAAGGATTTAAAAATTAGGTAAAATGACTTGCCCTAAGTCGCACTACCAGTAAAGGGAAGAACTGTGATTTGAACCCAGTTTCATTCAAATGCAGACCTGGGCTCCTGACAACTGCTCTGTCCTTTTGGTTTATTTGCTTTAGGTAGAAAATGTCATTGATGGTAAGATGGATGATTCCCTCCCACAGCCTCCTGTTGAGAATTCCAGTGTACTTCTCAATGAGTCCACCTGACTAGAAGGGTACTACATTGTCACAGATTACCTCCTTTAGGAGCCTTGCTGAGTTCCTCTTCCCATAATTCCCAGTGCCTCCAGCATGAAGAGGAGTATTACCTGGAAGAGAAGCTGCCCAGGTGGCTTCTGAAACTTTACCAGGAAAACATTTCTAGTTGCATAAGGAAGGCCAGGTGGGACCTTTCCTTGTACATCCCCACAGATAGAGCAGGCAACTTAATGGCAACTGCTGTTTAACAGGTACACTCAGTATGTGCCTGGCACTGTTTTAAAGGATTTTTTACATGTTTTAGACTGTTTTATGTTGCTACAACAGAATGTCACTGACTGGATAATTTATAAAGAAAATAAATTTATCTCATAATTCTGGAGACTGGGAAGTTCATGGTTGAGGGACCTGCATCTGGCAAGGGCCTTCTTGTTGAGTCACCCCATTGCAGAAGGGCAGAGAGAGGCGAGAGAGAGCAAGAGACTGAACTTGCAGCCTCATACCCGATTATAATTGGCACAAATCCATTCATGAAGGTGAGGCCCTCCTCACTGAAACACCACCCATTGGGCCCCACCTCCTAACACAGCTGCATTAAGGATTCCATTTTCAACACGTGCTGTTTGGGGGACACATTGCAACCCATAGCACATGTACCGATAAAGCTTTAAAGTAGCTCTGTGAGGCAGGTACTTTTAGGAGCTGCTTTTTTAGAGGCAGAAACTGAGGTACAGAAAGGTGAAGCCTCTGTTGCAGTTCGTAGCAAGCGACCTAGTGGGGATTCAAACCATGCAAGCTGGCCTGGCCTTGTGCTCCTGGCTCTATGCCCATGCTGCCTGTGACTAAACCCAGCTTGGTGGTACCCACCAAAGTGAACTGGAACTAGCAGATCACTTACCCCTGTGAAGCGCAGGGATGGGAGAGGTGGGATTCGGTGTTGGTCTCCTCCACACTCGGCTGTCCTTCCAAGCTGGCCATGCTGTCATTTTCACATCACCACCCACCACACATTGGTGCACCATGGAAGAAATAGGCCCTCGGATTGATCTTAAGGCTTATTCAATTGAAATGATGATGGAGCCACCCTCAGCTGACTCTGAGTGATCTCCCACCTGTTTGTCCTGGAGTGGCAGTGTCGGGGTATCAGGGTCTTGTCAGTTTCCCCTGAGAGGAGCCAGCACCTCCCACTCATTAGACTCAAACGGGCTAAAACTCTACCTTCCACCAGGTGGAGACAGAGGACGATTTGACAAACAGAAATCAGTATTTCATGTTTCTCGGCCATTTCTGTGGCATCTATTAATTGGTTTTTTGGGATCTTGTTCTTATGTTGCTTGGTAACTTTTTCTACGAGAAATCCAGTTACGATTTCATGGACAATACAGATGGTTTCTGTGGTTTTTCCTAACTCGGAATAACATTAGGCAAATATTCACAAAATACGTCTTACAGCTGCTGAAATTATGTCTGTTACATTTAACCATTTTCAGTGTGTCCAAGTAGAATTGTGGTTTATTAGCCCTATTTGACTCGGGCCTTAGAAATCAGCTGTTATTTTTGTTTTTTGGTTTTTTCCTTATAAACATTCTTACACCTGGGCACACTTCTCTGAAAACACATCCAGATAGTTAATATTTGAGACTTTGTGGGCTGTACTCTCTTTGTCATAACTGCTCAGCTTTGCCACTGTAGCATAGAAACAGCCATCAACATTACATAAACAGACATGGCTGTGTGCCAATAAAACTTTTTTCACAAAAGCATTTGGGTTCGTCCCACTGACCATAATTTGCAGACCTCTCATCTTAAGAATTAACCCCAGAAATATATCGTTTTATCCCAGGGTTTCTAGACGTCAGCACTGTTGGCATTTCCAGTCTGCTAATTCCTTGCTTGGGGAAGAGGGAGTGTCCTCTGTGTTGTAGGATGTGTAGCCATTCTGATAATATCATGGCCACCAAAAGGGTCCTTAAGTGAAAGGGTGTAGATGTAGATCAGATGTCAAGTACAATAATGACAGGGGCCACTGGATTTGACCACACAGAGTCACTGATGACCTTGAGACTGGCAGGGGACAACAGTCTACTTGGAGATCCTTCAAGAATTTTGACTGTGGGCTGGGCGCAGTAGCTCACACCTATAATCACAACGCTTTGGGAGGCCAAGGAAAGAAGCTCAATTGAGGCCAGGAGTCAGAGGCCAGCGTGGGCAACATAGCAAGACTCCATCTATGCAAAATATTTAAAAATTAGCTAGGCATGGTGGTGTGTGCCTGTAGTCCTAGCTAATTGAGAGGCTGAAGTTGGGAGGATCACTTGAGCCCAGGAGTTCAAGGTTATGGTGAGCTATGATCACACCACTGCACTCCAGCCTAGTCAAGAGAGACACACTGTTGAGGAACAGGGACAGAGGTGGGTTGTTTCATGATGGGGACTATCAGGGCTCATTAGCATGATCTGGGAGATTCTCCAGCGGAGAGAGCATGGTCCATAATGAGGAGAAGGAGGAGGCTGAAGGAGAAAGGGTCTGTGCTCCAGACTCCTGGTGGACAGGACGCCCTTGAGAATTCCTCCTCCACTGTCACAGGAATGAAGACTGAGGCACAGTCAGCATGTTCTGTCCCCATCCCTTTCCTTGTAATGCTTGGAGAGGAAGAGAGGTGACAGGTCATGGGGGAAGGAGGTCCTAGAAGCTGAGCAGCCAGGGACTCTGTCAGACCACGCACCCCCATTCCCCATAGGACACCTGGATTTCTAAGAACTCAGATATCCTTCTAAATTCTACACACCTCTCTTTATTTTTAGAGTCTTCTTCAAGATCAAAAGCCGAAATGCGCACATGAAAACTCACAGGCAGCAGGAGGAACAGCAGCGGCAAAAGGCTCAGAAGGCGGCTTTTGCAGCTGAGATGGCAGCCACGATCGAGAGGACTACGGGGCCCGTGGGGGCGCCGGGGCTGCTGCCCCTGGACCAGCTGAGTCTGATCAAACCCATCAAGGACGTGGACATCCTCGATGATGACGTCGTCCAGCAGTTGGGAGGTGTCATGGAAGAGGCCGAAGTCGTGGACACCGATCTTCTCTTGAATGATCAAGATTCAGTCTTGCTTCAGGGTGACGCAGAACTATAAAGCCCTGTGTGGCACTTAGAGACAGTGAAAACCCACGGCCTCCGTCTTCATTAATCAGGAAACCTGGACTGCCTGCTTGTTTTGTAGCCCTTTTAAACTACCTGTTTTAAAAGTGGTCATTTTATTCAGGTTTAGAAAAAAAAATCCCATTTCTTTTCCTTTTATTTAAAAAAAAAATTGTTTTTGTGGGGGGTTGGGGGAATAAATAATTGGCACAACTATCTTTAAGAGGTGTTTCATCTGGGCTACCTTCTCATGAAATCATTCCCAGCAGGGAATGAAGCTGACCTTCATGTTCCATTGCGTTCAGATGTCAACCATCCCGGTTGCCTTTTATCCCAAAGCTTGCTGTGAGAGTGTGTGTGTGTGTGTGTGTGTGTGTGTGTGTGTGTGTGTGGTGTGAGGCAGGCGACCCTCTTAGTGCTGAGGCCTTGGGGCCATCTTTTCCCACAAAGCGTTATTTTGATTCTGTTCTGACCTCATTCTGTAGTTTGCAGTGAGCATGGCATCTTTGCCTGGAGATTCTATGCTAGGGGCAGCTTTCCAGGGGCAAAGCAAGCCCTCGTGTTACACAGCTCTCCTCCAGCACACACGACGTGTGAGGAGATGACCAAATGTGAAAATAGGTTTCCCCTGAGTTGCCTCTCATCCTTTGGCCCGTGTGCAGGAATGGAGTACTGTATAATTTTAGGCTTTCACTCCAAGCAGTGTTTACTGAGGACCTGGTTTTCTAGAGCAGGTGCATCCTGTCCTCTTCCGTGTTCCCTGGGGTCTGGTCAGCTCCAAGTTGTGGGTGGCAGAGCTGTGTTCAGCATGAACTGACAAGAGACCCATCTGCAGCCATGTATTAAGTTGCCAGGACTGCTTTCACTTTAGGGTGATTGAAGGGCACACATTGAAGTACCTAGAATGCCAGAAAGTGTTCTTTTGCCCAAAAAACAAATCAGAAAAGCAACACTGTTAATGATTAGTGGAGTTCTGAAATTACTTTGTGCCACTTAGAAGTACCGTGAGACCTCATTCACTGGGATTTTGCTGTAATTCACATCCGCTGGACTAAAGTTTACTTGATGGTAGCTGTAAGAAATAGTTTTCTCATACATATGATAGCAAATACAAGACAAATACCATTGAAGGCCAACAAAAATGGCTTCAGACACACTTTTAGCTATAGTGTCTGCATTCAGACAATGACTGTATTCATTACAAATCACTTACCAAAGCACTTCTAGACTTCTCTAACCTCCATGACTTTGCTCTGCTTCCTCCTGTCCCTGTCAGCAGGGTTGCTGTTTGTACTTGAAGGTAATAAACCTGTAATCCTTCAAAAATGCCATTTAGCCCCAGGCTTTTGAGCTGAGTCAGACTGACCCATCCCACCATTAGGGCAAAACTCAGGCTGGGACACAGCCCCAGTGCAGAGAAGATCCTGCTTCACGCAACTCCCCTTTCAGAGTTAACGCTGCGTGATTTCCTGGGCGGGTGTTTTCAGGACTTGCCCACCCCAGGTATGCTGGTTCCCAGCTCCATGTAAGTGTGCCTATCACACTGGGCCACTTTGCTGGCACATTCATAGCTTGACATGAGAGAGAGTATCAGCAGAAGCATGAGAGTAGGACCTGGTGTCTTTGACTCTGCAAAAGCTTTTAGCACACATGAGAGGGACCAGCTGTGACCCGCAGCAGCCCCACACAGGCTTCAGGAAAGCCACGGGCGGAAGAAAAAATAAAACTCTTTTCCATCATTCTGTTTTCAAAGAAGAGGTCTTGGCACTTTCTTACATCTTTTGTTTAGAGGGAAAAAGAAGTTTCATTTGCTGCCATTTCAGAAAGGTTATGCTATCTTGTTTAATTCAAGTAGTTGTGAGTCAAAAGCTGCCTGGGCAGTGTGCACCAACTTTGTAGCCAAACCATTACAGCTGTCATATCCTTGGCTGATCGTCTCTCCCGGGGACTACTGCCCCCCACTTGGCAAGTGTCTGAGGGTGAGCTAGAAGGGTGCTGCTACTGGGTCTATAGAAGCTTATCTATCAAAGGAGCAAACATCCAGAAAAGTGTTTATAAAGCAAATGTATTGCCTCTGTTTGGAGATTTGCCCAGCTGTTCCAGTTTTAAACATTAAAAAATAAACTCAGTTGCCATGGCAAAAATAGAATGCACAACTTACTTTTAATCTTCCATGCAGTATAGCATAAGGATTTTTGACTTGAAACAACCAAAGAACTCCTCCTTAACGAGACAGTTCGAATTCCTGAATTAGTGTTTCTTGACTATCAACTTAAAGAATGGACTTCCTAGTACAACATTGCACTTACTTTTTTTTTCTGAAATGATTCTGCCTGCATGTATGTGTTGTGTTTTAGCTTCTCCCCCGACCCCACCCCAAAGAACTTTTCTTCCTAATGGTTATGTCTTCAACTTGGTTACTGTTTACTATCAGATGGTTTTTCATTAGTGAATTTAGACCTCTTCGAGAAAGCTTGTATATAAAAAGTTAACAGATATATTTTATGGAAAAAACCCATCTTATTTTCAAATATATTTAACTGCTGTTATATTTTATTAGAGGAAGGTTGTAAATATTTTCTAGGAGTTCTATTGTAAAGAAAAGTATTTTTGAAAAAAACTAATGTAATAAAAAGGAAAACATTTTTAAATAGTAGTTGTGATTGCTTCCTGTTCTGGCTTCGTTATGTTCTATTCTCAGCAGATGAATTGCATGCCTTCCATATCAGGATGTAATTTATTCAGGTTTGCACTATTATAAGTTGACATCATAATATCCAGTGTGCTTAACTGTATTTTCCTGGAATGCAAGTCCTTTGGTCCACATTAAAGCACTATGTATAGCATATTCATAATTTTTTTGTAATGTGTGTATTTTTAATAAGGATTTTATGTAACATTTTGGCAAAAAGAGGACAGTATTTTCTAGTGAATTTTATAATAACATTTTGCTAAAAATGTTTCTTCCTAGGTCAGTTTTTGTTAAGGTGAACCAAAAGTCTTATTTTACCAGGGGTTTAAAAAAAGTTTGAAGCTTGAAAGCAAAGTTATATTTAAACATCATATGTAACAAATAAATAAAGATGTTTTATAGACTTGTCCTAAAAAGGTGCATTCCTTAAAAAAAAAAAGAAAAAGAAAAAGGAAAGAAAGAAACTGGGGCATTCTAGATTGTTTCCCATCTGAGTGATAAGCATTTTTTTTTTAAATTATCACAATGCTTCTTCAGAAAGAGACCCAGGGAAATTTTATTTAACACATTCTAATCATTAGCCTTCTCAGAAAGTTATTACAGTTCCTATAGATGGGCATTCATCAAATGGAGATGTAACCAAATAAACACTGTCATATTTATTTGTGAAAACCTGATTCAATATTGCATCAGCTGCTCTGAAAATAAAATATTATCTTTTTGCGTTTCGTTTGCCTTAAATATTTCTTCTTTCTAGCCACTGCTATGACTTCTCAGTGCTGGATAAATGCTAGTTTCCCTGTTAATTGGTTTCTGTAGGCAACAAGTTTAAGTCTGCTGATCGAAAATGTAATGCTCATTATTAAAGTGTCCCCAAGGGCCGGGCGCGGTGGCTCAAGCCTGTAATCCCAGCACTTTGGGAGGCCGAGGCGGGTGGATCACGAGGTCAAGAGATCGAGACCATCCTGGTCAACATGGTGAAACCCCATCTCTACTAAAAATACAAAAAATTAGCTGGGCATGGTGGCGCGTGCCTGTAATCCCAGCTACTCAGGAGGCTGGGGCAGGAGAATTGCCTGAACCCAGGAGGCGGAGGGTGCGGTGAGCCAAGATCGCGCCATTGCACTCCAGCCTGGGTAACAAGAGTGAAACTCCGTCCCCAAAAAAAAAAATAAATAAAGTGTCCCCCAACTCCAGACACCAGCAATGGATGAAACACTTGGGGACTTGGTGGTCTCTAAACCTTATGACTTGAATTGTGATTCAAGGGAGCACACTGTGACACACAGGTGTCTTACACTAAATCCTCCACAATATCTAAGTCCACCCTGATTTATTTGCATTTTAAATCTGCATTTCCAAATTCGAGTAAGTATGTTTACTTTTTTTTCTTTTTGTTCTGCCTGGAGTGCAGTAGCACAATCTTGGCTCACTGAAGCCTCCACTCCTGGGTTGAAGCAATTCTCATATATCAGCTCCCAAGTAGCAGGGATTATACAGGTCATGGACCACCACACCTGGCTAATTTCTGTATTTTTAGTAGAGGTGGGATTTTACCATGTTGGTCAGGCCGGTCTCAAACTCCTGGCCTCAAGCAATCTGCCCAAAGTGCTGGGATAACAGGTGTGAGCCACCACACCTGGCCGTATGTTTGCTTTTTCATGGTCAACAGAAAACTATAGAACTTTGAAATTCTGTATTTTATTTTATTTATTTTTTATTTTTTCTGAGACAGAGTCTTTCTCTGTCGCCAGGCACCAGGCTGGAGGGCAGTGATGCAATCTCGGCTCACTGCAACCTCCGCCTCCATGGTTCAAGCCATTCTCCTGCCTCAGCCTCCCAAGTAGCTGGAACTTCGGGCGCACGCCACCACACTTAGCTAATTTTTGTATTTTTAGTAGAGACAGGGTTTCACCATGTTGGCCAGGATGGTCTCGATCTGTCGACCTTGTGATCTGCCTGCCTCAGCCTCCCAAAGTGCTGGCATTATAGGCATGAGCCACTGTGCCTGGCCTTGAAATTCTGTATTTTATACAAAATTTGCTTTAAGTGGGGAATGCCTATTCAAGACCTTTATCTAGATTCTTTGGGGGAGGTGTTGTTTTTAAATTAATAGAGACACGGTCTCACTATGTTGGCCAGGTTGATCTCCTGGCTTCAAGCAATTGTCCTGTCTTGGCCTCCTGAAGTGCTAGGATTACAGGTGTGAGCCACTGTGCCTGGCCCTTTTTTTTTCTTTTAACTTTAATTTTAGCTATTTACTTTAGACAACCTATATCAAATAAAATAGCTATTCCTCTAGAAACTGTGTGACTCAGCCAGTGTTGTAAATTTAAAGTCTACTTCCGGAGACCTAATTGGAAGATTTTTTTCTACTGTTACATTTATTCAGTGAGTCAATCCTCATGAGCCACCATGTACCAAGCATTATTCCATACTGTATTGTACATGGGGGAGGAGAGTGTGTAAAGATGGCTGTACATGATTCCTTCCTGCCAAGGAGTCAAGGAATTTAATACCTAGAAAGACAT